GTGACCATGTCGTGGCACTTGGGACCATAAAACTGCACATTGTTTGAAAGAGAATTGAACAAGCTTTAATTTGGTGGTTTTTTCATTGCTGCATCTCAATTTGCTACTGAGCTATTTGAAGTAAAAAATCGGTTCACTTTCTTTTGGAGTTTTGGTCCACCCAGTATTAAGCAAAAAGTATGAGCGCAGGTCGAAGCTCATTAGAGTTTTTCAGATGCCTGCACGGTTCAAGTATATGAATAACATGAAAACCCGCGGCGTTAATGCGGTACAGTACTTCAGATTACTTTGAAAACCGTAATGGGAGTTAAAATGACCGATTATACGAGTAACAGAACCAACAATAAAACAAAGCAACAATTGAAAATTTTCCAAGGTACCCATATTATGTTGACTTTAGCAGGGCACGGCGCAATATAAGGATGCTTGAATGCTTGTCCGCGCGGACTTGTTCAACATGCTGCTCAAAAACCGGGAAAATCGCGAAGGAGCTAGCAGCGTCATCTAGGAAGTACATATTTTGTGCCGAACAAGGCTCCGTTTTCTGTTTAGTAGATGCCCTGTGCAACCTCAGATTGAAACCCTGACACCACAGTTGACGACCATCATGATCTAAATACCAGCAGGGCTGAACCAATAATGTTATCCGCTGTTGTCTCTCATTTATTGGTTTCTTCATTCGCTGGAGGTAGTCCCTGTTGAATTCCCTGGATCCCACGGGGATACGAATCAATGGAAATATAATGCAGTTGGAATCTCTTTAAACAAATAAAAAACTTCAAGGGACAAGAAAAATGTCATTGTAAATATACAATTTGGTTACAGAGAACCCCTTTATTATTACATGGGAAGATAATCCCATGGGACCAAAACAATTTTTATGCAGAGAAATATTAGTATAAATGTTAGTATTAAATATTAGAGTAATTAGATTCTTGCAAAAGAATATTTCTGCAGCACTTCATTTCTTGAATTAGAGTTTCTCTCATTGTTTTCACCCCACCACCACATCTTAAATTTAATTTTCAGACAGAAGGTTCGAGAAAATTTTAACTCCACATTCCAAACGCAACCTGTGTATATCTTATACAAAAATCAGTTTATTTCAAGAAATACCCCTTTAAATGCTAAAATTTGAAACTTATTGATGTTTATTATTAATAAATTTTGAATACAGTCGTATTGCATTGAACTTTTTTCATTCTTGTCTGCACCTGGAGAAATATTTTTCAAAATTCAATGAATGCGTTTGATGCGAACCAAATACGTGCAAATTTTTCAGAAAAAATATACAGTATATTTGAGTATCATGCGCACCCCACTTTTTGAGCTCAATTCGTCAGGAAAAAGACGCAGTTGATGCTTAAGTTATAATAAATACTGTATGTCCATGATGCATTAAAAAAAGTGTCACATAAGACTAATGTGACCATTATGCTTTGAAATTCATCATCTTGCCATCATCAACTCATTTACTCAGCAGCAGTTTGTGACCCATCAAAAGATAATTTTTTTATAAATTGTGCTCAAGACAAGGTTTAGAATACGTTTAGGTGTGCCTTATACTCGATTCTGATGGGAAATTTGGACCAATTTCTTAAACATGAAACTTATCATTGCGGAAAAAATTATAAATTACAGTACTTTAGTTATTCATTTCATCTGTGAATTTGAATTTGGGTATGCGTAGTTCGTATTTTCGAAACATCGCAGTTTTAGAGTCTTCAAAGTGGGGTGTCCGTCTTAATCATGGATAAAATGTAATCAAACTTCAAGCTGAAAAACGTGGGACTCAAAGTGCACGTGGACGTGGCATTCGTCCAATAAATATGGTAATTCTTTGAATTGAGTAACTGCTCCAGTACTCCGTATAATGAACATGCAGGGACCAGATATTATTCAAGAGTTAGACGCTAGTGTTATGAAGCATGTTCAAACACGTGATGGATCACCATATAAATGGTGATATAGAGTAAACTCTTGTTACAACAAATTTTTTTCGGGACTCCAGAAAAAAATTTTTGCACTGAATAATTTATTATAACAAGATTTTCAAAACAATGAATTCCTTTTCAACATATATCAGATCTGCCTATTATCAATTAGATCTTGCTTTTCTGAAATTCTCAGATTTTTCATGATAGTTAAAAAAAATTGAGTGATCTGGAAAAAAACCTTCATCAATCATGCATTCTATCAGTTGGGATGTATGCATGCATGTTGGATCTTTTGTTTCCCAGCATAGACTTCAGCAATGGGAACATATTTGACTTGTTCACCTATTCATAAAAATCTGGTACATACAGAAAAATCTTTCACTCTAAAGGGATGATGTCTGGAACCACTTCGAAGCATGTTTGTGTCATTGATTATGCAGCTTCCATCCATGCTAGCATAAGAACCAGTTCTCAGTTACATTTGGGATTGGAAATTTCAGACTGTGCCTGCCTTAGTTTGGAAATGTCTACCTGGAGAATCTATCAAAAATTCCTCAAGAAAGCTTGTTGCATATTGGAATTTGGAAATTTGCAATAACAACATTGTTTAACATGTACTCAAAGGGCTTTATGCTTAGACTTAGAAAACAGTTTGTTATACTGTACTGACAAATTTTTTTACAGTAATTTTTGTAACAAGATGTTCCTCTATACTCATTTTGAAGCTTGAAGAAGACAAATACACAGTGTGGTATCACACATATGCAGCAGACTCCTCTTCATATATGGAAGATTTGACTTGGGGAAACTTAAAACTGGAAAAATCTACCCCCAATGTATGGACAGTGACTCAAGATACAGACATTTTCCCAACATTCCCATAGAAAAATTGAAACAATTTTATTCTTTCTAAATCTTTATATTTCTTGAAGAAGCTGAGCTGTTTGCATCCAAAAATCTCAAAAATAGATTTCATTGTAAAATTACCATAATTCCTAATCAAAAACAGGCTTATTTTGTGCTTTCTTGGAGTGTTCTCAACTTCTCATCGTGATGAACAGCAAAGCAAAACGTGTTCTTGTTTTTTGCTTCTTGCGCTCCTTCTGCTGCCAATAGATCGCAGTCTGTGTGGTTTACTTCTGTACATTTATTTTCGGTATTTTATTGAATTTCAGAACAAATTTTATTCAGTTTTTTTGGGGACTGCTGTATGTACCAGATTTTTATGAATAGGTGAACAAGTTAAATACATGTTCCCATTGCTGAAGTCTATGCTGGGAAACAAAAGATCCAACATGCATGCAGACAATCCAGCATAGGGACAAGGTCCAAGGCCTAACTATACGTCCGCATCTCGGGGTCCCACTTTCCTGCATACAATATTGGCACCCTGTATAGCAGGATGAGGAAGAAAACCGAGACCCAAGGACACATCTTCCAATTCCAAGGCAAGCACCGCAGTTGTATCATTCCCTCGTAGAAAACAAACGCGCGGTGTAGTCTGCTGATTCCTGTGCCAAGAAAAGCTCCACACGGGCACCTGGACAAACACTTCGTCGTTCTGCATGGTGGTTGCGCGGAGAGGTAAAATAGAACATGATTTTCGTTTTCTGCAACAATCTCTCATTCTGGCACAGTAATGTGAGACGAGAGAAGCGCATGGAAATTTGCACGAAGACGAGCAATGCCAAGGAGAGTAATGGCATGTGCATGCAAAGTGTGCTCTGATGACATGATGCGGAACGTTATTCGAATTATTACAGCAGATGCTTTAAACAAAAATAATCTTCTCTGAACCTCTCGACTGGACTATACGGACTCAAAACACTAACGTACTTGACAAAAATTTACAGAAAAATAGGCAGAACATTATCCAAAAAATTCCCATGAGCAAAAGGCCAAGGGAATAAGGGAATAAAATACTGTAAAGCTTCTTCTGATCATGTACTTGAGTTTGTTTACCAAAACAGACCAATTTGGGCCTCTCTCTGTATATACGGATTTTCCATGAAATCTGTATATATTTCTGTACTGTACATATCAATAATACTGTACAGTGTATCAGCTAGTTCAAATTGATAGCCTCTTTTGATGCTTGTATATAGTCATGCCAGAAAATAGTTTGAATGGATTAACCTGTAATATATACAACATATATGACAAATCCCTCAATTCAAAAAATGTTCAAGCGGAATTTTTCAATAAAGTTTGACCTTAAAATTCAATTTAGATCAGCTCCTGGTCTTTATGAGCCCCAAATTGAGTGCCAGAGGCGCGCATATATTGTGCCACAAATTTCCTTGGAACAAATATCCCTCCATATTGCGTTATTAAGGCAAGAATCCATACTTATGCTGTATACTTGCTTAATTGACAAAAAAATCCTGGTCTTGTATGATAAGATTGGGCCCCAAATCAAAGATATTAAGGCCTTTTTCTGAGAATACCATTACCATCAGGTTAGTACTGTATATGCTGAAAAGTATATTTGTTCATGCTGCTCAAATACTGTACAAACTATAGATAATTTAAATTTTAAAACATTCCATTTCTGAATTTACATTATTAAACAATTTTTTGGGCTTGCTTTGACATCTTTTATTACAAATTTAATGAATAAAGAGGGAGCCTTCCTACTATGCTATGTGTTCGCACATGCTATTGAAAGGTCATCTTGGACAAGGCTATCTGGATTGTTTTCTGTGGAGGGCACCTGAAAGCTGGCAAAATTTGAAATAAAGTGGCTATTTTTGTGGCCATGAGTAAATGGTGCAACATTTTATTGAAACATTATATGTCAGGAGCAACAGTTCATTACATTTTTGAGGTTGACTTGCCTGTAGATTGTAATCAGGGCACAATAATGCAGTGAAGTATCTGTGAGGAAGAACGCCTTTCATTTGGGGACATTTTTAATGCCTTTTTTCTAAGAGAAATCAGACAGAGACTCAAAAAAATAATTTACAAAAGTTTTTGACTTCGGGAGGTTCAACTGTATAAATGACCAATAAATTCCAAAATGAAGCCATAAATTGGCTCCAAGTTACATAAATGACACACGCATTTGACATTCTGAACAATTTATTCACCGACCAATTCTAATTAGAACCAATCACACACTGCCTCGTAAAATGAAGCCAAGAAAAAAAAAATGCGCATACAGGAAGACACCGGGGAAGCAAGACCTCAAATCCAACACAAAACACAAAAATATCAGTACACAAAAATTACTTCCTCTTTCTTTCTCTCCCAAAAATCCATCTAAACAACATTATAACATAGCTGCCCATTTTGGCTGTGAATCACATCTTTCAAGAAGTCAATATAGTTTGTTGGCGCCTAAAACAATACCTAATCCCCGGGAACTGCTAGCACCGAACAGAAGAGAAGGTGTAACTGGCCTGGGGCTGTAGTGTCTCAGCAACCACTGTGATTAAATTCTTCCAGCAGCAGTCACCGTTGAAACTTTCAGAAAACGTTTTAAATTACTGTACACCGCTTTGGTGTCGAGCCATCATACACTACAGTGCCACCAGTCTAGCATCTGCGTTGGAATGGTAGTTCCCAGTTCTGGTCAAGTCTCATTCCATTCGAAACTTGACCCTTCAACTAAATATCTAACCAATAAACGAAAAGTTCTTTTCGAAGCATATCAATAAAGAACTGCTTGGGCGAAAAGCAAAAAAAAAAAAAAAGAAAGACATATTGCGGCAGTGTAAAAAAGACCAACAGAAGAAGCATAAGCACCACTGCAACAAAAAGAAAAAAAAAAAAGAAAAGATGTGGGGAATCTGGCCCAAGCGAGTTTTAAGGATCCACTGGGTTTGTGAATGGGGACTACCATACACTACCGGGCAACCAGTTAAGCGTACGCGCAAAGAAAAAAAAATCACATGTTCTTATTAGCAGTTAGCAATTTTAAAAAGTGCCTTATAAAACATGAGCACGGATCACAACGTGGCCCATCACGACAAGTAGTCTGGCGAGGGCTCTGCCAAGGGTTCTGGAGTCGTAAAAAGAGGGTTCGGGAAGTCTGGAGGGTGCGGAAGAGGGCCGTCACGTCGCGGACGACGTCGAGCAGCCATCAACCAGCAGGACACTGCTACAGCCACTGCTACCAAGGCCAGCAACGCAGTGATGATGAGCGCAAAGATGAATCCCACTTTGGACACACACACCATCTTCCTCTCCGCAGTCACAGCGTCTATATTCGAACAACGGAATATCCAACACGTCATCAACTTATCTTTTCCAAATACTGCATACGTAGTACATCAGTATATGGTATATATACGAACGCTCACCATCATTGGGATCCACGAATCTGTTGGTATTCTCCAACGTGAGGATGGCGTTACTCTCCACCATGATCTCTTCCCTGAATTGCCCCGTAAACACGGTCTCGAAGACCTGCGGGTCCTCGTCCTCCACGTCGGTGTAGGAAATCTGTCTCCTTCTTCTGCCCATGACATCAACTCCGCCGCAATTGACGGGCTGGCACTTGCCGAAGCACACCAGCACATTGCACTGGAATCTTATCGAATTGGAAGAAGGGAACTTGAAGGCGTCGAAATGGGACATGAGGATCCCTGGGTTCCCAGAGTCCTTGGTCCACTCTCCGAAAACGGCGGCATCAGTGGCACAGCCGTTTTCGTCCGTCACTAGGTACTCGTTCTCTCCGTCGTCCTCAATCGTCTTGGCCATGCAATTTCTCACAAATCCGCCGTATACGCCTATGGAGAGAGGATGGAATTGATCACATAAATTCAGTTGAACCACCATAACTTTAACTCTCCGAAGTGGAATTTTCTTTAAGCCCATGTCTGAATTCCTTCAGGAACAAATAATGCATTCAAAAACCTCCCCAATTAGAAGGCTTTCATTCCTCAAACCTCCATTACTCAAATGTTCTGGAGGCTTTTTGGCTATTAATTTAACGACACAGGAAAGAGAAAAGCGATACAAATTACACTTGATGCGTTTTGAAAGAATAAGTGAAAAACTAATGAACCCTTGCCTCCAAGTTAAGCATCCCGTCAACTCATTTAAGAAGCACTTCAAGTCGCAGAATGTAACCATTCAATTACAAATTCCTGCGATTCTTCTTTCTTTTCTCCTACAAAAATGCTTGTTTCCCTATCTCGAATTTATTTTAGCTGGTCCCTTGAAATTCGACCGTATTATAAAAAAAAAAACAACCATCAGCAGATACTAAAAAATGGGATTACTGTACAGTACATAAAGACTCACTGTTCGGTTGGACCTCGACGATCAACATCAGCCTTTCTCCGATCGTCGCCTTGCTGATTTCGCTTCCAGAAGCTGTCACGATCCTCATGCTGCACGTAGGTGGTGGGCCAGTATTGGCGATGGTTCCCGCAGTCGTGATCATGCTGACGTTGAATCCAAGGGTCACGGTTTTCTGTCCCGTCTTGTACAGGCACTTGACGTGATAAGCCTGGGTCTTGTACGTGACGAGCTTCGGGTGCTTCTGGATCACTAATATGAAGCTTGCTTCTCCCTGCATGGAATGAAAAAAAAAGCGCTAGATTCTTCCTTAAAAAAAAAAAAACATAAGTGCAACACGTTAGGCGCTCCATCCTCGCTATTGTGAAAGCATTTCTTCAGAGGAACAATTTTAGAAATAAATTTGGGAAGTTCCATGCAACGAAAAAATAAAATAAAGTGGAGAGAATAATAAAACCACCGGAAAGCTCACATTGGCATGGATCAGTCCGCATGAGTTGAATTCGACCTTGAACTCCAGGGCTCTGATGGTGTCACTATCCTGGATGACCCTTCTGCATTCTTGCCTGTCACTGTAACCCTTGACATAAAGGACACCGTCCCATTCGCGATTGTCAGTCACGCCATCCAGTCGAATGTCCACCAAGACCCCGTCAGCCAGGCAGTTGACCACCATTTCTGGTTGCGGGAAGTCCGTCCTCAGACCAGGAGTAGGTTCCGACGTTGACAATACAGGTACTATAAATAAACGCAGAGAAACGATAACATTGAAAGCAAGACGAAATAAAAGCTCAGAGAGTACAGACTAGTGGTCGGCAACCCGTGGTCCGCACAATTGTTTTGCCCATTGACAGGGAATTTTCATCAGCATAATGAATTTCTCAAAACTAGTATTGAAGTACTGTATTTATCTTCATCCACAATTTTGGAAAGACAATGTCAGTTGAAATTATCAGATCAAAAATGAACTTTTCGCATAACAAAAATTTAGATAAATTTTCGACTGATAAAAAGTATTATTTTAATTTGTCATTCTGAGAAACCTTTTTTCAGACCAGCTTTCCAATTTTTTATAGATATTCAACTGTAGCTGCTTCATTGATTCTCAACGTGATTTTCGCAATAAAAGTTTTGCTTGGAGGACTTTATGGCAGCTATTTAGACATTTTTGTCTGGTGCTCAAAGATTTTACAGAAAATTTGCCGGTCTGTGAGCCCGGAAAGGTTGGTGGACACTGTCATGGACAACTCACCACACTCAATTTCTCCATCCCCGGCATAGCCTGTGATGCACCTGCACACTGCTCGGTGGTTGGCTTCGTCGCAGAGGGCATTTTTGACGCATTTGACTTCGCTACAGGCACGAACGCATTTCTCTTGCCTGCATACCTCGGAGTCCTTGCATTGTTCATCCACCTCACACTCCGGAGACACCACTAGTTCAACTGCAAATGGAACATAGTATATTCGATTCGAGCACTTGAAAGACCCGACATGAACTTACTCTCTTTGCAGACGCCTCCAGGCAAGAGCTCGAATCTCGGAGCCGGGCAAATGCAATTACCATTGACCACCGTCATCCCCCTGTCTGTGGCACACACGCATTTTCCTTGCTCATCAAGTCTGTAGCCGAGTTCAACTGGACACAAAATGCATTCTCCGTCCTTGTTCACGCCCTTTCCTCTGTCTGTCGGGCAAATGCAGTCTCCATCTCTGTCTTCGAAGCCCTTTTCAGTAGGACAAGTTGGCGCTGTTCAGGGGAAATGAAAAGATTTCATCAAATAATAGCCCCAAAAAATCAAACCATGACGGAACATGCAACATGCAAGTGCAGTGCGAAAAAAAAAAAAAACCTAAAATAAACGAGAGTCATCCAGGGTAAAGAAAAAGTTCAATTTAGTCATGTGAAACAATTGCATGTTGACTAACCTGGAACGCAGGCAACGGCAGCATTGCCAACGTAACCTGGTGGGCATACGCAAGTCATTGTGCGAATTGGTTCCGTGTCGAGAACTTTGCAAATAGCATCTGTTCCGCACGGTGAAATGATTTTGCACGGGTCCTGGCATTCGCGGTTGATGCAAGCCGTTTGCCTGGGACAGTCCGAATCAATCTTGCACCTGTCGTCAACTGCAACACAGCAATAATTCAACAAAGTCACACGAATGCCAATAATGAACCAGCATCAATCAGTCAGTCAAAAACTCACTCTTCGTACAGCCAACAGCTGGGTCTCCTTCGAAACCTGGTGGACACTGGCACGACACAGCGTGATTGTGAACCTTGCATTCAGTATCAGCGCAAGGATCAGCAAACTCGCAAGGATCGTCGCACTGGCCATTGTGACAAGCCTTGTCACTAGGACAATCATCATTATGTTGGCATCCGACAGGCGTGCATGCGACTCCAGGGTTTCCCGTGGTTCCGGGTGGACAAATGCAAAGTGGGTTGTGGTCATACGGCCTGCACTCTGCAAACGGCGCACACGGGTTCCTCAGGGCACAGAGCTCAACACAGGCATTGTTCTTGCACGCATGAGTGGGCGGACAGTCGGAGTTACTTTCACAGCCCACTGTGAAACATCCTGTGTCTGGGTGACCATCGAAGCCGACTTGGCAGGAGCAGATGGGCTTGTGGTCCACTACTCTGCAGTCGGCATTTGGCCCGCAGTTGCAAGGCGACCTACACTGGCTGTTCACGCAGGCCTTGTCTCCTGGACACTCGTCATCTTCAAGGCACAAACCAGTGATGACTGGGATGGGTTCACACGATCCACCAGGCATGGTCTGGTGTCCATCGGGGCAAATACAGATCATCGTTCTCAGGGGCAGAGTTGAGATGACTTTGCAGGCAGCTGAGGAATCACAAGGTTGGATTGCGAGGCACGGATCCCTACAGACCTGGTTCAAACACGCAAAGCTGTGTGCGCAGTCAGCATCTTCTCTACATTCCGGCTCCGGGACAGCCTTGCAGAATGAATATGGGTCTCCCGTTGTTCCCGGGGGACATCTGAATGAAGAAAAACAAATTTCATAGCATTTTTTCCTCCCCCAAAAGCTTCTTTCCGAAATTCGGACGGGTCTTCTCACCTGCACCGTGCCGAGTGAATGATGGTCCTGCACTCAGCATTAGGAGCACAAGGGTTATTGTAGAAGCAAGGGTTCAAGCACTGACGATTGATGCAAGATTGCTCGATGGGGCAATCGTCATCCGTTCGGCATCCGATGAGGGTACATCTTTCCAGGGCATTGCCTTCGTAACCCGGGTTGCATCGACACTGGGCTTCATGGTTCTCCGGATAACACTCCGCATGAGCCACACACGGATCATTCACCAGACATGGATTCACGCAGTTGCCATTGAAGCACGCTTTGTCATTCGGACAGTTCTCGTTTTGTCTGCAGCCAACTGTGATCAAGAGAACGAGGGTATTACAATAGCATGTCTTTTTTAACGAATAATCGCTTTCAAAAACTTTTGTTTTAGGTTCCTGCCCAATATAGCCACGACTTTTAGTGAGTCACCGTCTAACGAATTTATCGTTACAATGAAGCTAATTTCACTGGTCCCAATGGCTTCGTTATAAAGAGATTTTACTACATTTGCAGCACGAGAGAATCATCGAGACTTACCCTCTGCGCAGAGGACATGTGGATTGCCTTCGTAGCCTGGTTTACACCTGCACACAGGCCGATGGTCCTTGATTATGCAGTCTGCATTGCCTCCACAAGCACAAGGGTCTCTGCATTGCCTATTGATGCAGGCTTCCAATGGTGGACATTCATCATCTCCGAGGCATCCAGGGGGAGAGGGAATTTCAACTGCAAACACGACGCAGGAGAATATCGTCACATCAAATACATCATCATATTAAAAAATGCATTACTAAAAAACTTTCATTTTTAATCACAGCAGAAGTCGAAAAGATTATTACGCTGAAAATTCCTGCTGTAAAAAATTCACCAGCAGTCATTACTGTATATACCGTATACGCTAAGCCTTATTTATAGTGAGTTTTTTAGTTGTCTTCAAAAAATCTTACTGTCCGCACTCGTATAGGGTCGGCGCAGCAACAAAATGTTCCAGCTGAAAGATCCTCTGATATCCCAGGAAAACTACGATTTCATTACAGTATTTCAACTGACACGCTATACAGTATTTGATGACGTACCAGAGTAATAACTAATGATCAAATGTCGTTCAAGTGATGAAACTGAATGGAATTGAAAGAGTTCCTATGCTGCTATATGCAGAAAATAAATCTTGTCGATACATTAACACGGTGGAAAAAAATAGAGAACGTTCTCTTAAGCTCAGATACAATTTAAGTGATGAAATTGAACATGCACTAAACCAATGGGAAGATTCTATCTGACCAAGAATGCGTTTCGAAAAATCCGAAGGTATTCGGGGCATTGAGTATATATAATACTGAATCTGCTAGAAGAGCCTTTTAAAAATGTTTGCCTATTGTACATTATTCAAGAAAATAGTGCTTGCATACAGATTTTTGAGAGAAGCACATCGATATACATTTTTTCAGCAAAACATACTTTTCCAAGGTTCTAATTTAGTAAGGTATTTCACTATATAATTCTTGATTTTCAGCAAAAAAACTGGGGCGTGGGTCTCACATAGGGATAAGTTTTCGGACAATTTCTCACAAACTAAGTCGGGTGCGTGTCTTACTCAGGGGCACATGTATGGTACTCGAGTAACTATATCTGATGTACGGCAAACAAGAAACTCACCGGGCTGACATCGTCCATCACTCAATGGCACCCATCCATCAGGACAGATGCAAACCATGGTCCTCAGGGGCTCAGTGTCCAATACCACACACTTGGCGGTGGCATCACAAGGCGCGATTACTTTGCACGGATCCTGGCATTGCTCCTTTATGCAAGCCAGTCCTGAAGGACAGTCTGAGTCGAAGACACACTCGGGCTCTCTTTGTTCTACTGCCGGTTGTTCCGTTGAGCAACGCTCAAACGGGTTTCCAGACAGTCCAGGTGGGCATCGACATCCCGCAGCATGATTGGTCACAAAGCACTCGGCAGTGGTGGCACAGGGATCCGCATGCACACAAGGATCCACGCATTTCGCGTTCACGCAGGATTTGTCTATTGCGCAGTCCTGGTTACTCTTGCATCCTGAGAAAAATCGGGAAATTAATCCAGGATCAGCAACCGAATCAACCCTAGTGAACACTAAAAGATGCTTACCAAGGAGGACACAACGGTCTCTGGGGTTGCCTTCAAAGCCTGTCCTGCATCTACAATCTGCCTTGTGGTTTTCAGCAAAACATTCTGCAGTCACATGGCATGGGTCGCTGATTATGCACGGATTTACACACTGTCTATTGAAGCAGGCTTTGTCAGTTGGACACTCGCTGTCATCCCGGCAACCAACTGTGGAAAAGAGTTTTGCTCACATTACAATCATATCCCATTGGACCACCATCCTCACTTCCAACCAAGTTTCTCTCCAAAACAAAATGACCAATCCTTGAAAAGACAGGCAATCCTCAAGAACTGCCACTGGCCAACATTCTCTCCCCCAAACTCACTTTTTCTTTCTTCTTTAAGCCACCAATCCTCTTTGTGTCTCTCACCAGGGATTTTTCATCCGGAAGCTGGTCTCCTCATATAAAGTTAATCCTTTTTTGATACATGCACTTTTTAATTTTCTTTCAATATATCATACATCCAAAATAATTCTGTTTTCAAACATGCCCTCCACAGTTTAATTTATTTTTCAATAAAACCCTTGAGTATTATTGTCTGCAATCTTCAGCAACTGTTTTGCCTCACCAAACAAATTCACTAACGGAGTTACTTTAAAAATTTAAAACACAATAGCAGTTATTCTAGTTTGTTGCTTGCTGCCATCCCTGAAAATTTGGGATGCGTCAATAAATTAGCTTCATCCTATTTCCATATATTTTTTCCTTGTGCACCAACTACCTTCCAACTCTGTGTCCCCAGTAAACTGCCACACTTATTAAACCACCAAAATCCTTTGGCACAAACATTGCGGTGGTTCAACAAGCTTTGCCTGCTGTATCTCAAACAATCCCACGAGCACACACAGGAAGAGAACAGGCATACTGTGTTGTTTCCAAAATGATTATAACGAGCTACTCACTTGCATGACAAGCAACATTCGGGTTGCCATCAAAGCCAGATTTGCACTCGCAGATGGCCCTATGGTTGATCACTCGGCAAACAGCGTTGGTTCCGCAGTTGCACGGGTCCCTGCACTCTCCATTGAGACAAGCCGTTGTCGGAGTGCACTCTTCATCCCTCTGACATCCAGCGATGGTAGGCGAAACTGAACGAGATCACTCATGAGTACAATTTAAGGAAACTCTCGACGCATGCACAACATATGGCAAGCAATCCCAGAATATACCAACACCAGCATGCAAAGGTCCCTGTTTTGTTTCTTTTTTTTTGCGGATCAAACGAGTAAATGCTGGAGAACAACGAGGTAGTAATAATAGTAGTACATTGAGGTTTCTCCCCTGGGCTTGTTTGGGACTTACTTGGTAGGCAATTGGCATTTCGGTCAACCACCTGCCCGTCAGGACACATGCAAGTCATGGTCCTGACCGGGACGGTGTCTATTACCCTACAGGTTGCTGATGGATGGCACGGGCGCAGAACTGTGCACGGGTTCTGGCACACTGAGTTCAAACAAGCCAGGCCCGAGGGGCAGTCCCCATCCGTCTTGCATTCCGGCCTTTGCTCAGGTTTGCACTCAACATACGGGTCCCCAAACATTCCAACAGGGCACCTAAAAAAATGAACACCAGCATTCATTAAACGTACTCAGAATATAACAAATAGCAAGAAAAAACCTACTTTATCGAAGAGGAGCAATCAAATATAATCGATATAGGAAGCATAAGTCAAAATTACACGATTTATCATCGACGCTATCACGCACACCTCATGCAGTCGGAGGATTTGAGAAAAACTGAACAATAACCATTTTCACTCAGGCGTGGCTGGGCGCCTCCAGCTCGTAAATTATAAATTCAGAGAGAATACAATAAACAGTATCATGCATATATTGAACGTGGAATGTCATATATAACAAGACAATTTCATTCAAAGATTTCAGGAAGATCAACTATGAAGAAAATGAGCTCTCAAATGCATCCCTCGCACCCTTTGCTTCATACTTCAGAAATATTCCTTCACGAAAAAAAAGAGAGCGAGAGGATGAACTGTGAGGAAATTGAGCTCTGAAGTACATCCTTCAAACCCGTTGTTTAATGTTCAAGATATGTCCCTTGACGAACAAAAATAGAAAGCAACACGTGATCTCACCTGCAGTTGGCTCTGTGATCTCTACCGATGCACTCTGCTGACGGCGCACAAGGATTGCCAGTGGCACACGGATCTACGCACTCCCGGTTTCGACACGCCAAAGGATTCGGACACTGGTCATCAGATTTGCAGCCAGGCAACTCACAGACCCTTCTGGCATCGCCAATGTAGCCCGGAGGACACCTGCATTGCGCTCTGTGATTTTGACCAAAGCACTCCGCATTGTAGGCACACGGATTTTGCACCAAGCACGGGTTCACGCAATTCCTCCTCATGCAGGTCTTGTCTGACTGGCAGTCTGCATCTGACCTACATCCAACTGGAAACAGCACTTCCGGGTTAGGAACCCCTCGAATTCATCTTCCGTAACCGAGAATATACTCACTCTCTTCGCAAGCAATGTGGGGATTTCCTTCGTATCCCTGGTTGCATTGGCACAACGGTCTGTGGTTGATGACGGTGCAAAAAGCGTTCGTTCCGCAGTGACAAGGGTCTCTGCATTGTCTGTTCATACATGCCTCTTGGGCAGGGCATTCGGCATCACTTGAGCAACCGGCTTCAATCGGTTCGACTAAAAAAATGGCAAAATGTTAGCAACGCGACTCAGTCGGGATTCATGTGCATGTATGCAGGGTATTGTGGTCAGCCAAGTAATGTTCTGTCGCATGAGAGGAAAAATATGCATATGAGTCTGTGTAAGCGGAATGATGTGTGCTTTGTTGTGGCACGAGTTTCTGGCACACCTGCAGTGCATAGCACTTTCCCATCCCCAATCATGCCTGGCGGGCAAGTGCAAATCATGGTCCTGACGGGTGCAGTGTTGATGACTTCACAAATAGCCGTAGGAGCACAAGGTGCGATGACCACACACGGATCCCGGCAAACATTCTCAAGACAAGCAAGCTTCGCTGGACAATCCGTGTCTTGCTTGCATTCCGGCTCCACGGGTTTCTGGCAGTAAATATACGCATTGCCTTCAAAGCCCGGAGGACATCTGCACTGGGCCTGATGGTTGAAGGGCACACATTCCGCGTTGTGTGCACACGGGTTCGAATACAGGCATGGGTTGACACACTGTCTCGAGACACACGCTTTCTCCGAGGGACACTCAGCATCTGAGTTGCACCCAGGTTGTCTGCAGTTCACATAAGGATCTCCTTCATAACCAGGCGGACATCTGCAAACAGCTACGTGATTCTCAGCGAAACACGTCGCACTACGAGAACACGGGTCCCTGACGTAGCATGGGTTCACACAATTTTTCTGGTGACAGGCCTTGTCACTGGGGCACTCCGAGTCTGTTCTACAGCCAGCTGAAATAAACAATATTCGTTAACTTGATCGCAGCGTGTAATAACATCAAATGACTTACTAGGCACGCAGGATATTTTCGGGTTCCCCTCGAACCCAGGCTTGCAGGTACAAATTGGCATATGATTCACGACTGAGCACTCCGCATTGGACCCACAGTTGCAAGGGTCTCTGCATTCTCTACTAATACATGCTAGTTGAGTCGAGCAGTCATTGTTTGATTTGCACCCATCGTCTTGTTCGACAGCCGGTTCAACGCATTCCCGGTATCCATCGCCAAGGGTCCCAGGTGGGCACTCACAAATCATGGTTCGGATCGGCAGTGTATCTAAAACGCGACATTCCGCTGACGGGTGACAGGGTTTGATGGCTGTGCAAGGGTTCAAACACTTGTTGTTCAGACAAGCAAGGCCAGACCGACAGTCACCGTCCCGTTGACACTCCGGCTGTGGTGGTGGAGGTATCCGTTCACAGTACACCAACGGGTTCCCTTGGTAGCCCGGTGGACAACGGCACTCCGGTCGATGACTCAAAACCATGCATTCCGCATTGGAAGCACAGGGATTGTTGTACAAGCAAGGGTTGACACACTTTCTCAGGATACAGGCTTGGGCCAGGGAGCATTCCGAGTCTGAAGAACATCCCGAAGGCACACACTGGATGTGTGGGTCACCTTCCAGTCCAGGTGGACACTTGCACACGGCTTGGTGTCTCTCCGGGAAACACTCGGCTGTGGGAGCACAATCGTTCTTGACGTAACACGGGTTCACGCACTGCTTGTTGAAGCAGGCTTTGTCCTGGGCACACTCAGAATCTGCTTTGCAGCCAGCTGAAATAAAACGAAAATCGTTCAACTCATCCTCGGTACACAAGAGAAACAACTCATGCATACCTGGATAACAAGCGATGTTTGGATTCCCTTCGAAACCTGGCAAGCATGAGCAGAGTGGACGGTGGTTAAAGACGGAACATTGGGCATTGGGTCCACAGCTGCATGGGTCTCTGCAGTCTCTGTTCATGCAGGCCTGGGTCATTGGACAGTCGGTGTCTGACTTACAACCTTCCTCCACTACGGGTTCAACTGAACAGACACAAAAAATATCGTTTTGATATCACGCACGCAGTGGCTTCACCAGGAATCAAGAAACCTTACCACACTGCGAGTATCCATCGCCAATTGTCCCAGGAGGACAGACGCAAATCATAGTCCTTGGTACGGTGTTGATCACTTGACAATTGGCACTCGGGTGACACGGCGCCAGTGCAGAACAAGGGTTCTGACAATACTCATTGATACAAGCAAGCAGGGACGGACAATCGGCATCAGTTCTACACTCTGGCGATGCTTCAGGCTCAGGTCGTCGACAATAAACCAATGGATTCCCTTCGAACCCAACAGGACACCGACATTGCGCCAGGTGATTCACAGGGATGCAAAGCGCATTGTGAGCACATCTGTTCGAGTACACACAAGGGTCCACACATCGCTGAGACACGCATGTTTTATCCAAGGGACATTCAGCGTCTCTTTGACACTCCAGTTTCTTGCAGCCGGTTTGAGGGTTCCCTTCGAAGCCAGACTTGCACCGGCATTCCGCTCTGTGGTTCCGGGGAAAGCAATCGGCATTCGCTGCACACGGGTCTGAGATGTAGCACGGGTTCACGCAGTTGCCCTGCACACACGCTTTGTCCAGGGAGCATTCGGCGTCCAATTTGCAGCCAACTGCGGACGAGCGAAAGGTTAATTCTATATATTCGTCGTTTAAAAAAAACGTCTCCTTCGAGGACTTACTCGGGAAGCAGGAGAGCTGCGGGTTCCCTTCGAAGCCTGGTCTGCATGTGCAGATGGCCCTGTGGTTGACAACATTGCAAACAGCATTCGCACCACAGTTGCATGGATCTTTGCACTGTCCGCCGAAACAGGCCAGTGTCACGGGACACTCCTGGTCGCTTCTGCAACCTTCCCTCTCAACTTCGACTGGTTTGCAGGAAGAAAAGCCATCCCCGACCATTCCAGCAGGGCACTCACAAATCATGGTTTTCACCGGGAGAGTATCCAAAACTCGACATCTAGCCAGCCGGAAACATGGGTTCGTCAAGCACGGGTTCTGGCATCTCTCGTTGATACAGGCCAACCCAGTAGGGCAATCAGCATCCTGCCTGCATTCAGGCTCGATTTCAGGCCTCGGAGTTTCGCAATACACTCTCGGGTCACCAATTGTTCCCCTTGGGCAACGACATTGCGGCCGATGTTCTAGCACAAAACACTCTGCATTTGATGCGCAAGGGTTCTGGTACAAGCACGGATTGATGCACTGGGTGTTGACACAGCTAGTGTCTAGAGAACATTCCCTGTCAGAGCTACAACCCGCAGGCTTGCACATGACGTTCGGATTTCCTTTTTGACCAGGTGGACACCTGCACAGTGCTCTGTGGCTAGAAACGTAACATTCAGCACTTGCTGCGCATGGGTTCTGCACCAGACAAGGGTTCAAACACTGCCTCTGGATGCAGGCTTTATCAAAGTCGCATTCTTGATTTCTTCTGCAACCCTCTGTAAGATTCACGTACAAAAAAGTAATTAATGTATTACAGCGAGGCGATTATAAAATCTGAGGAGACCCACCTGGGTAGCAGGAGATCCTCGGGTTGCCTTCATACCCCGGTCTACACCTGCAGATTGGCCTATGGTTCACGACAGTACACATGGCATTGGCACCGCAGTCACAAGGGTCTCTACAGTCGCCACCAATGCAAGCGAGGACAGTGGGGCACTCTTGGTCAGTCCTGCATCCCTGCTCCCTTTCTGACAGAACTGATAAAGAACTCTTACAACTACCACTCCCTCGAGTGTTCAATAGTACCTGGTGTGTAGTTTTCATGACCTGTGCATTGCTGTTGGGACTGGATGTAGTTTATCATGCGCAGTTACGTATGGCTGACCACAGAGTATAGTAGGTGATTCAACTTACCTGGATGGCATGCAGCGGATCCATCGCCAACTGTGCCTGGCGGGCATTCACACACCATGGTCCTCACAGGAAGAGTGTCCAAGACCCTGCAGATGGCACTCGGGTGACAAGGACTGAGCACAGTGCATGGATTCTGACAGTGTGAATTAATGCATGCCAAGCCTGAGGAACAGTCGGCATCTTGACGGCATTCAGGCTCGGCTTCCACCACGGGCGCTCGGCAGTATTCCCTAGGGTTGCCCTGTAGCCCGGAGGGACATCTGCATTGGGGTCTGTGTTGATCTACAAAACACTCGGCATTCACGGCACATGGGTTGGTGTAAAGGCAAGGATTGATGCAATTCCGGGACACGCATGCCGTTTCCAGAGAACAGTCCAAGTCGCTTTGACAGCCCTCTGGTTTACATCCCGAACGGAATGGGTCGCCTCGGGTGCCTGGTGGGCATCTACATTGCGCACGATGATTCAGCGCAACGCACTCAGCACTGATGTGACAAGGGTTGGACACGTAGCATGGGTTCACGCAGTTCTGACTGATGCAGGCTTGGTCCAAAGGACAGTCCACGTCCGTCTGGCAGCCAACTGCAAATTCGACAACCAAAAGGATTCAGTGGGAGAAACCAATCTTAAAAGAGATTCATCGAATTCTCACCTGGGTAGCAACCTCTTTGAGCGTCCCCGGCGAATCCATCCTTGCATCTGCAAGTCGGATGATGATTCACCACAGTACAGATGGCATTGGCTCCACAGTTACATGGATCTCTGCATTCCGGTGAGAAACACGCCAAGTGTGAGGGACACTCCGAATTGGAGGAGCAACCATCGTCCCTCACCGGTTCAACTAAAAATAAAGTTACCATCAAAAATGCTTCGACCAAACGATTGAATAAACTTGAATAGAGTGTTCCCCAACCCGTGGTCCACGGACCAGTGACGGTCCGCAGAAGTTTTTTGCCACTCCGCAACAAATTTTCTTCAGCATAATGAATTAATAAAAAGCAACAATAAAGTCTGTTATCATCTTTACTTGAAATTTCGGAGAGAAAATGGCAGTTGGAATTATTCCATGAAAAATAAGTTGGCTTTTCTTCAAATAACCATTCACATACAATTTTGAAATACATTAATTTAATTTTTTATTCTGAGCAACCTTCCTAATTTTTGAAGACATTCCTCTGTAGTTGCTTCCTCGGTTCTTAATTTAATTACAGTATTGCTAAAGAGCAGAAACTTTTTAAATACCTGCCATAATGTCTGTTGAAAAAAATTTGAGTCTGCCAGAATTAAAAAAAAAACTTGGAAAGATCCCAGAAAATTTTTTGAAAATTTGCCGGCCCCCAGAAAATTTGCCTGTCCACGGGCACAAAAAGGTTAGGAACACTGGATTATACCTACCAGGATAACATCCAGAGTATCCATCCCCGATCAAGGGCGGGCTACATTCGCAAATCATAGTCCTGACAGGAGAAGTGTTGAGCACCCGGCAGATGGCACTTGGGTGACAAGGGCTCAACACGGTGCAAGGGTTCTGGCATCTCTCGCTAATGCAACCCAATCCAGAGGGACAATCCCCGTCATGCCTACATTCTGGCTGAGCTTCCGGCACAACTGGCCTCCTGCAGAACTCCCTAGGGTTCCCTTCAAGCCCTGGTGGGCACCGACACTGCGGGCGATGGTTGGGGACCTCGCAAAGTGCATTGGATGCACACGGGTTGCTATACAAGCAGGGATTGACGCATTCTCTCCTCACACACGCTTTGCTGAGTGGGCACTCGTTGTCCGAATCACAGCCAATCGGTTTACAACTGACTAGAGCATCACCTTCGGTGCCTCGTGGGCACCGACACTGGGCCCTGTGATCCGCTGGGTAGCACTCTGCTCCCACGGCACAGGGATTGTTCAAGTAGCACGGATTCACGCATTGTCGATTAATGCACGCTGCAACTTGAGGACAGTCATTGTCTGTCTGACATCCACCTTCAAAAATCACCACGATAAAATTCATTAGAACTTGAACTCCCGAATCAATTGACCCATCAATGAACTCACTTTCAAAGCAGGCAATCTGTGGGTTGCCCTCGAAACCTGGTTTGCATTTGCACAGTGGTCTATGATTTCTGACATCACAAATGGCATTTGATCCACAGTTGCAAGGGTCTCGGCAGTCCCTGCTGATGCATGCCAAGTGGTCTGAACACTCACCATCACTCTTACATCCGTCCTCCACTACTGGTTCAACTAAATCACAAAAAGCAGAACATTTGAGAAAATGATGGTCTGTACTAAAAAAAAAAAAAGATACTGTATCTGTCTGTCAACTTACCACATTGACTGTAACCATCCCCATAGGTTCCAGGCGGGCACTCGCAAATCATGGTTCTCACAGGACTGGTGTTGAGGACCCTGCACTGGGCACTAGGGTTACATGGGTTCAGCACAGTGCAAGGATTCTGGCATCTTTCATTGATGCAAGCCAAGAATGATGGACAATCAGGGTCTAATCTGCACTCCGGCTGGGCCTCGATCACGGGTCTCCTGCAGAACTCATTAGGATTCCCTTCAAACCCGGGTGGGCAACGACAAAACGGGCGATGGTCCTGCGCATAGCAGACAGCATTCGGAGCACACGGGTTGCTGTACAAGCAGGGATCCACGCATCGACGATTGATGCAGGCTTCGGTCGGGCCACAGTCTGAGTCGGACTTGCATCCGATCGTCTCGCATCTGACTAAGGGATTCCCTTCTAGACCAGGTTTACACCTGCATTCTGCGCGGTGGTTGGTCGCAAAGCAGTCAGCTGTTGGCACGTGACACGGGTTTTGGATATAACAAGGATTCACGCACTGCCGGTTATGGCACATCTTGTCGAATGAACACTCTGCATCACTTCGGCAACCGGCTGAAAATAAGGCGAGCATTCATGAGTATGTACGCGGGGATCAGGTCTACGAAGAATTCACCTGGTTCACAAGCGATGTGGGGATTGCCCTCGAAATTAGGTCTGCACCTGCAGATTGGTCTATGGTTTACAACTGAACAATCAGCATTGCGTCCGCAATCACATGGATCTTTGCAATCCCTGTTCAAGCATGCCAATTGAGACGGACAATCCTGGTCGGATTTGCATCCAACGTCAACCTCAGGCGCAACTAGATGAAAAGAGAAAAATTGCGGTGACACAACTCGGGCAGTTGATTTTTCAAAGGTACTCACCGCATGCACTGTAACCATCGCCAAATGTTCCCTGAGGACACTCACACACCATCGTCCTCACAGGGGATGTGTTGAGCACCCTACAAAGTGCACTCGGGTGGCACGGATTCAAGGCTGCACAAGGGTTGGTACACCGTTCATTGATGCAACCAAGACCAAGAGGACACTGTGAATCAGTTGTACACTCTGGTAACACCTCTGGGGCTGGACGCTCGCATCGCACTCGTGGGTCACCTAGGAGACCAACTGGGCACCTGCAACTAGGTCTGTGTTCGAGTACAATGCAGATGGCATTTGGAGCACAGTCATTGTAGTAGACACAGGGGTTGACACACTGCCGTTCCACGCAAGCTTGATCCAATGGGCAATCATCGTTGGACCTGCATCCAGATCTGACGCAACCCGCAGGGGTATCGTCGAACCCGGGTCTACATCTGCATTCTGCTCTATGGTTTACCGGATAGCATTCAGAGTTGATTCCACAGGGATCCCTGATGTAACACGGGTTGATGCACTGCTTCTGGTGACAGGCCTTATCGAAAGAACATTCTGAATCCGACTTGCAACCACCCTCATCACATCGGATCTGAGGGTTGCCTTCGAAGCCCGGTGGACATCTACAAATCGGTCTGTGGTTGGTAACCGTACAGAGTGCACCAATTCCACAGTTGCAAGGATCTCTGCATTCCCTATTGATACAGGCCAGTTGCTGGGAGCATTCGTCATCACTTCTGCATCCGTCTTCAACCACCGGTTCAACTGAACGATAATAAATAGGTATTGTGGGATCACACGTAAAATATAATTTTTTTTGTTGCACAAATTGACACTTACCACATTGGTTGTAGCCGTCTCCAAGTGTTCCAGGTGGACACTCACAAATCATAGTCTTCACAGGGAGCGTCTGCAGAACACGGCATATGGCTGAAGGATGACAGGGATTCAACGTAGTGCACGGGTTTTGGCAGCGTTCTTGAATACAAGCCAAGTTGTGCGGACAATCAGCATCTCTCCTGCACTCTGGTTCCGCCTCAACAACAGGTCGTCTGCAGAACTCTCGAGGGTTTCCTTCGAGTCCAGGTGGGCATCGACATTGTGGCCGATGTTGGAAGACAAAACATTCTGCGTTTGATGCGCAATGTTGGCCGAACAAACACGGGTTCACACATTGTCGTTCCACACATGCTTTATCCAAGGGACATTCTTCACTTGACTTGCATCCAACCGTCTCGCACCTCACCAGAGGGTTTCCTTCAAGTCCCGGCGGACACCTACATTGTGCGACATGGTTTGATGGATAGCATTCTGCATTCACTGCACATGGGTTTCTCAGGTAACACGGGTTGATACACTGTTTCTGATGACATGCTTTATCAAATGAGCATTCTGCGTCTGACTTGCAACCGCCCTCTTCGCATCGGATCTGGGGATTGCCTTCGAAACCTGGAGGACACCGGCATATCGGTCTGTGGTTTGTAACAGTACAGAGGGCGCCGATTCCACAATTGCAGGGATCTCTGCAGTCTCTGTTGATACAGGCCAGTTGCTGGGAGCATTCGTCATCACTTCTGCACCCGTCATCAATCACTGGTTCAACTGTAAGGAAAAGATGCTCAATTAAAAACAGTTCAACGCGAAAAACATCCTTGAACTATGGATTTCACTCTAGTACCGTGCATCTCGAAAAATTTTCACCCATTTTGAAAACAGTAGAATTTTTCCGTGTCATTTCCACCTGACAACAAATTGTCTCAAAAAAGAATAAAATTACGTATACATTTACTGAATTTTAAAAAGACAAACAGGCTATTATATAATGACTTGACGAGTAACACTTCAAATAAAACATCGGGAACAGCGCCAAAAGGTCAGTGCGTTCTCCGGATTTCCGCAAATGGGCCAATTTTGCCTTATCGTACGTTCATTTTGCGACTCATGCTGCAAACACCTTTGGGTCTGAATGTCGGGGCAATGTAATGTGCATGACCTCTGGAATTCAAGGTGCGTTTTAGCATGGGTGTTGGAGATTTTCCTGGGTTCAACACATTTCACGTTCATAATGCGGTTCAACAACCAATTCTCATCATTAAAGACACTGGTGCGGATTTATTAAAATAAATTCTAATCATTAAGCAAAATCATAAAACAGGATCCATGCAATTATTCAATTTCAAAGAGTCATCCGCAGCGTAAAGAATCGAGGTTAAAATGGCACAAACGCTAAAAAAAATTTAAAAGCTCAATTTTGATTACCCCTTCTTTGTTTCGTTCATTATAGGACTTGAGCAATCTATTCATTGCGAACGATCCGGAGGAATTCGACATGAAACGGTTTACATGCAATATCTAAGAATGTAAGCAACAATACATTCCGCAACATTTCAGCCAGAACAATTTTAAGGATACTCAATATGACGTTGAAAATTGTTGAACGCAAGGACAGGCAGACACCTGAGGCAGATGCGGCAAAATGAAACTTCGGGTGCGAGATGATATACTCTGCTAATCGGGAAAACACAGTATTTACAGGATTATGAACTCACCACACTGAGTGTAGCCATCTCCAAGCGTTCCAGGTGGACACTCACAAATCATGGTCTTCACAGGGAGTGTCTGCAGAACACGGCATATGGCTGAAGGATGGCAAGGATTCAATGTAATGCACGGATTTTGGCAGCGTTCTTGAATACAGGCCAAGTTGTGCGGACAATCAGCATCTCTCCTGCACTCAGGTTCCGCCTCAACAACAGGTCTTCTACAGAACTCTCGAGGGTTTCCTTCGAGTCCAGGTGGGCATCGACATTGTGGTCGATGTTGCAAGACAAAACATTCTGCGGTTGGTGCGCAATTTTGGCCGAACAAACATGGGTTCACACATTGTCTGTCCACGCATGCTTTATCCAAGGGACATTCTTCGCTTGACTTGCATCCAACCGTCTCACACCTCACCAGAGGGTTTCCTTCAAGTCCCGGTGGACATCTACATTGTGCTACATGATTTGATGGATAGCATTCAGCATTCACTGCACATGGGTTTCTCAGGTAGCACGGGTTGATGCACTGTTTCTGATGACACGCTTTGTCAAATGAACATTCTGCGTCTGATTTGCAGCCACTTTCTTCACATCTGATTTGAGGATTGCCTTCGAAACCTGGAGGACACCGACAAATCGGTCTGTGGTTGGTGACAGTGCACAAGGCACCGACGCCACAATTGCATGGATCTCTGCAGTCCCGGTTAATGCAGGCAAGCTGCTGAGAACATTCATCATCACTTCTGCAGCCATCCTCAATCACTGGTTCAACTGTGGCAAACAAATTTAGGTTTCAAAACATATACCCAGGCGCGTTATGTGTGATATAATGAACACTCACCGCATTGATTGTAGCCGTCGCCGATGGTTCCAGGAGGACACTCACAAATCATTGTCCTCACTGGGTTTGTATTGAGCACCCTGCAAAACGCTGACGGATGACATGGGTTCAGCCTTGTGCACGGGTTCTGGCAAGTTTGATCAATGCAAGCTAATCCAGATGGACACTCAGGATCAGTCAAACACTCGGGCCTGGCTTCAGGAGCTGGTCTTTGACAGTACTCATACGGATTCCCTTCAAACCCAACTGGACACCTGCACTGAGGCCTGTGTTGCTCAGCGAAACAGTCAGCATTTGGAGCACAAGTCGACGAGTGGACACAAGGATTGACGCAGTCTCTGTTGAGGCAGAATTTGTCCAAGGGGCAATCGTTGTCCGACTTGCACCCGATCTCTTCACATCGGACTATCGGATTGCCTTCCAACCCAGGTGGACACCTGCATTCCGCGATATGGTTCGCTGGGTAACACTCGGCATTCACAGCACACGGGTTTGACAGATAGCAAGGATTAATGCATTGTCTATTGTGGCAGGCTTTGTCGAATGGACATTCCTGACTGGACTTGCATCCGCCGAGTTCACATCGGATCTGAGGGTTCCCTTCAAAGCCATCTGGACACCTGCAAATCGGTCTATGGAATCTCACAGTGCACTGGGCACCAATGCCGCAGTTACAAGGGTCTTGACAGTCCCTATTTATGCAGGCGAGTTGGTCAGGGCATTCGTTGTCACTGCTGCAACCATCGTCCACCACAGGTTCAACTTTTGAAGGGGAAAAAAAGGGGCGACGAGTTAGTGAATTGCACGTTACAGACGACGAAAAACTCCGCAGGTACTCACCACACTGGTTGTATCCATCTCCAATTGTCCCCGGCGGACATTCACAAATCATGGTCCTGACCGGATTGGTGTTGATAACCCGGCAATGGGCACTCGGGTGACAGGGGCTGAGAGTCACGCACGGGTTCTGACATCGTTGGTCAATGCAGGCCAATCCGGTTGAACACTCAGGGTCAGATACGCATTCGGGTCTCAGCTCTGGTTCAGGCCTTCTACAGTAGGACCTAGGATCTCCTTCATACCCAGGAGGACATCTACACTGTGGTCTGTGTTGCAGAACGAAGCATTCTGCGTTCGGAGCGCAGTCTCTCTGAAACACGCAAGGGTCCACACACTGCCTTTCCACACATGCTTTGTCCAAGGGACATTCTTCGCTGGATTTGCATCCCGACGTTTCGCATCTGATTCTCGGGTTCCCTTCGAGACCCGGTGGACACCTGCATTCAGCACGATGGTTCTGCGGGTAGCATTCCGCATTGATGGCACATTGGTTGGACAAGTAACAAGGGTTGATACACTGTCTCTGGTAGCATTGCTTGTCGAAGGGGCATTCCGCGTCCGATTTGCAACCACCTGCAAGAATCGCAACAACATCGTTTCAGAATTTTACGAAAAGGGGTACTTAATAGCCCTGAAAAAATCTAATTACAATATATGTAAGTGATGCTTACTTTCTTCACATCGGATCTGAGGATTGCCCTCGAAACCTGGAGGACACCGGCAAATCGGCCTGTGGTTCGTCACTGTACAAAGGGCACCAATTCCACAATTGCAAGGATCTCTGCAGTCTCTATTGATGCAGGCCAGTTGTTGTGAGCATTCGTTGTCACTTTTGCACCCTTCCTCAATAACTGGTTCCACTGAAAAGGAATTGAAAAGTTTCAGACTCACGCCGAACAGTTAATGACATTTAAAAAAATTAAGTAAACTTACCACATTGGCTGTAACCATCGCCAATCGTTCCTGGAGGACATTCACAGATCATGGTTCTGACAGGAATGCTATTAACCACTCTGCAATTAGCAGTCGGGTTGCAGGGGTTCAATGTGACGCAGGGATTTTGGCAGTGCTCGTTGATGCAAGCTAGAGATGTCGGGCAATCCGAGTCAACTCTACATTCGGGCTCACGTTCAGGTGCCGGGGGTCTACAGAATTCGTGCGGGTTGCCCTCAGTGCCCAAAGGACATCTGCAGGAAGGTCGATGGTTCAGGACAAGGCAGATGGCATTTGGTGCACATTCCCTGGTGTACAAGCAAGGGTCCACACACTGTCTTTCCTGACAAGACTTGTCCAGAGGGCATTCATTGTCTGACTTGCATCCAACCGTCTCACACCTCACCAGAGGGTTTCCTTCGAGTCCCGGTGGACACCTACATTGTGCTACATGATTTGATGGATAACATTCAGCATTCACGGCACATGGGTTTCTCAGGTAACACGGGTTGATGCACTGTTTCTGATGACACGCTTTGTCAAATGAACATTCTGCGTCTGATTTGCAACCACTTTCTTCGCATCTGATTTGAGGGTTGCCTTCGAAACCCGGAGGACACCGGCAAATTGGCCTGTGGTTCGTAACCGTACAAAGGGCACCGACTCCACAATTGCAAGGATCTCTGCAGTCTCTATTGATGCAGGCCAATTGCTGAGGACATTCACCATCGCTTTTGCAGCCTTCTTCAATAACTGGTTCAACTGTGGCAAATAAATTTAGATTTTAAAACATATACCCAGGCGCGTTATGTGTGACAAAATGAACACTCACCGCATTGATTGTAGCCGTCCCCAACAGTTCCAGGAGGACACTCGCAAATCATCGTCCTCACTGGATTAGTGTTGACAACCCTACAAAGCGCTGATGGATGACAAGGGTTTAGTCTTGTGCATGGATTTTGGCAGGTTTGGTCGATGCAAGCCAATCCAGACGGACACTCAGGATCAGTCAAACATTCGGGCCTTGCTTCGACTGCTGGAGGTCTGCAGTATGACCTTGGGTCACCTTCCGTGCCCGGTGGACACCTACACTCAGGTCTGTGTTGCAGGACGAAACAATCCGCGTTCGGAGCACAAGGTTGCCCAATGAGGCACGGGTTGATGCACTGCTTCTCCACACATGCTTTGTCCAAGGGACAATCATTACTCGACTTGCAGCCAATCTCTTCACATCGTACTACTGGGTTCCCTTCTAAACCAGGTGGGCACCTGCATTCCGCGATATGGTTCGCCGGATAGCATTCCGCATTTACAGCACACGGGTTCGAGAGATAACAAGGGTTGATGCATTGTCTGTTGTGGCAAGCTTTGTCATATGGACAATCCTGGTTAGACTTGCATCCGCTCGGTTCACATCGAATCTGCGGATTTCCTTCAAATCCTTCTGGACACCTGCAAATCGGTCTATGGTACTGCACAGAACACACTGCTCCAACTCCACAATTGCAGGGGTCTCTGCAGTCCCTATTTATGCAGGCCAGTTGGTCAGAGCATTCACTGTCACTGCGGCAACCGTCTTCCACGACTGGTTCAACTATAGAATCATTCAGCAAATTACCACACATTCAATTATGAAAAAAGTCAAGTACTTACCACACTGATTGTAACCATCTCCGAGAGTCCCTGGAGGACACTCACAAACGACAGATTTTATAGGATTACTCTCCAGTACCCTACAGATGGCCGATGGATGACATGGGTTCAGTGTCCTACAGAGGTTCTCACACCGTTCGTTGATGCATCCCATGGCTCTAGGACAATCAGAATCTCTTCTGCATTCCGGTTCAGCTTCCACCACTGGTGGCCTGCAGTAATCGTGCGGATTTCCTTGTAGTGGTGGCCTACATTTACAGAGTGGTCTGTGATTCATGACGAAACACTCCGCATTCTGGGCGCACTCGTTGGTGTACAAACAAGGATCAATGCACTGCCTTTCCACACAGGCTTTGTCCAAAGGACACTCATTGTCAGATTTGCAGCCAGAGGTTTCACACTTCACCACGGGATTGCCTTCAAGACCAGGTGGACATCTACACTCGGCACGGTGGTTGGCTGGATAACATTCGGCAGTGAAATGGCAAGGATTCTGAAGCAAGCACGGGTTGACACACTGCCTTTGATGACACTTCTTGTCAAATGAACATTCCGAGTCAGTCTTGCATCCACCTGCAGGATTTCACCGAAAACAAATCACCAGCATTTTTTTATAGTCATACTAGTTCACCCAAGATGTTTTTGGATAGACACTCACTCTCAACACAGCCAATCTGGGGATTGCCTTCAAATCCAGGAAGACATCTACAAAGAGGTCTATGATTGGTCACAGTACACGCAGCATTCGGTCCGCAGTTGCAAGGGTCTCGACAGTCCCTATTGATGCAAGCCAATTGAGACGGGCAGTCTTGATCTGACTTGCAGCCTTCGTCGACTACTGGTTCCACTGTTGAAAGAAAGCACTGTGTCACAAGAAATTCTGAAAATGTAGAAAAACGAAAGGCCAACACCTAATGAAACCATCGACCAAGCATGCACATGGGCGTTTTTGAAAAGCACTCAGATGAAAAGGTAACCCCCCTCCCGACCCTCACGTGATTCACCCAGATCACCCCAGTTATAATCCAATCGCTCATCAGCCTTGTGAACGAAAAGCCAGGGGTTCTCTGGGCTACAGTCGTCCCCTGCAACTCACCACATTGAGAGTACCCATCTCCTATGGTTCCCGCAGGACAAACACAAGTCATGGTTTTCACAGGAATAGTGTCTACAACTTGGCACAGCGAAGAAGGGTGACATGGGTTCAACACTGTGCACGGGTTTTGGCACGTGTTTCCGATACACGCCAATTGCCTCGGACACTCGGCGTCATTGAGGCACTCGGGTCTCGCTTCAGGTTCCGGTCTCAAACACTGTTCTCTCGGGTTACCCAATAATCCAGGCGGACACCTGCACTCGGGTCTGTGGCTCAGGACAAAGCAGTGGGCATTCGGAGCGCAGTCATTCTGGTAAACACATGGGTCCTGGCACGTTCCACTCGTGCAACTCTTGTCCAAAGGACACTCTGAATCCGTCTTGCAACCAACAGTAACACATTTCGAGAAAGGGTTACCCTCCAGTCCAGGGTTACATCTGCATTCCGCTCTGTGATTAGCTGGGAAGCATTCTGCATTGATTGCGCACGGGTCCTTCACGTAACAAGGATTTACGCACTGTCTTTGATGACAGGCCTTATCCAACGGACACTCAGAATTGTCCCTGCAACCAGCTGAAAAAAAATGGAGTACAGTTGAACCTCGAATCTCCCCGAGTAAAATGTTTTCAAATCCCCGTCTTGAAATGATGCATTAAAAATCTCTTAAACTCGAAGGCTTTTCCTTTCAAACCTCCCTAATTCGAATTTTCTGAGGCCTTTTGCCTACTATTTTCTTGACACAGGAGAGAAAAGCAATAAAAAGTACATTGATGTGTGTTTAAAGGAAGTGAAAGATTAATTGAGCAAATGAACCCTTAATTCAGCATCCTGTCAACTACTTTGAGAAGCAATTCAAGTCGCAGAATATCACTATTTAAAATTTCCAGCAATTTTTTTTCCACAACAAAAATGCTTGTTTCCTGACTCGAAAGCTCTCTAACTCGATTTTTTTGCTTCTCCCTTGAAATTCGACTGCTGTGTTTGTTAAACTGCCGGTCTCGAAAGCAGAATTGATTCCATTTTCGAAATTGCCCGACCAGAACTAAATTTACCAAACCGCAGCAAAAGTTCGGTTAATTACCGCATATTCTAGAAATATTGTAATTATATTTGACGAGGAGACCACTTCAAGAAGAAAAAAAAACCGAAACTTTACTTACATTCAGAGCAGGCTATCTGCGGATTTCCCTCGAATCCAGGTTTGCATTTGCAAATTGGCCGGTGGGACTGGACAATGCAGTCTGCATTCAAGCCACAGTTACAAGGATCTCGACATTCGGAGTTTATACATGCAAGGGTTTGCGGACATTCGGAGTCACTTTTGCAACCTTCCTCCTCCACCGGAGAAACTGAAAACAAGCGTTGTAATTGAGAGCACCGCAGATTTTTCAACAAGGATCGAATAATCTTACCACACTCGGTGTAGCCATCTCCAATAGTCCCCGGAGGACAATTACAAATCATGCTCTTCACAGGTTGAGAATTAATGACTTGACAAACAGCACTCGGATGACAGGGGTTCAGACTAGTGCATGGATTTTGGCACCTTTGGTCAATACAAGCCAATGCTGCGTAACAGTCCCCGTCTTTGAGGCACTCCGGTTGTGGTTCGGGTTTTGGAACTTCACAGTACTCCCTTGGATTTCCAACGAAACCTTGCGGACAACGGCACTCAGGACGATGATTTAGCACGAAGCATGCAGCATTAGGTGCACAATTGCTCGTGTATAAGCAGGGATCCACACACTGCCTTTCCTGGCAAGACTTGTCCAGAGGGCATTCATTGTCTGACTTGCATCCAACCGTCTCACACCTCACCAGAGGGTTTCCTTCAAGTCCCGGTGGACACCTACATTGTGCTACATGATTTGATGGATAACATTCTGCATTCACGGCACATGGGTTTCTCAGGTAACACGGGTTGATGCACTGTTTCTGATGACACGCTTTGTCAAATGAACATTCTGCGTCTGATTTGCAACCACTTTCTTCGCATCTGATTTGAGGATTGCCTTCGAAACCCGGAGGACACCGGCAAATTGGCCTGTGGTTTGTAACCGTACAAAGGGCACCGACTCCACAATTGCAAGGATCTCTGCAGTCTCTATTGATGCAGGCCAATTGCTGAGGACATTCACCATCGCTTTTGCAGCCTTCTTCAATAACTGGTTCAACTGTAAATACAACAAAACATTAATTTCTCGAGTGATGCGACTGATGTAACCGTTAAACTCACCACATGGTTCATAACCACTTCCAAATGTCCCAGGCGGACATTCACAGGTTGTGGTTCGCACTGGGAGCGTGTTCAGTACCTCACATCGTGCACTACTGTGACAAGGGTTCAGCACCGTACATGGGTTCTGGCAAATCTCATTGATGCATCCTAACCCCGACGGACAGTCGATATCTCTTCTGCATTCAGGCTCCAACTCAGTGGCAGGCTTCTGGCAATAAGACTGTGGGTCACCTGTGAAACCCTGAGGACACCTGCACTGAGGTTGATGCTGAAGAACGAAACAATCGGCATTCGGAGCACATGGATGATTGTACGCGCATGGGTTCACGCATTGACGTGAGACGCAGGCAGTGTCCAATGAGCACTCAGAATCCGATTTGCATCCAACTGGTTCACATTTCGTGAAAGGATTTCCCTCCAAACCTGGTAGACATCTGCATTCGGCCTTGTGGTTTGCTGGATAGCACTCAGCATTGGTGGCACAACGGTTTTTCAAGAAGCACGGATTCACACATTGCTTCTGGTGGCAGGCCTTGTCCAAGGGACACTCCGCGTGTGATTTGCATCCAGCTAATCGTAAAAAATATATGTATAATATATTCAGTAATTCCATTGAACTGCAAAAATTCGTCATCTAACTTACCGTTCCCCAACCTTTTTGGGCCCACAAACTGCCTAATTTTCAAAAAGCTTTTGCAGACCAGAAGGAATTTTTTAATACCTGCCATAAAGTCCTCTAAACAATGCATTTCTCGCAAAACTTAAGTTGAGAATCAATGAAGCAAGTGGAACGTCTTCAAACAAAAAAAAGCTGAGCGTCAAGAAAGGTTTATCAGAATGAATACTTGGAATAATGGAAATCAGTAGGTGAAAATTTGTTATTAGGAGAAAAGCCAACTTTTATTTATCATCATATCATTTCAACTGTCATTTTGATTCCGAAATTTCAGACAAAGATAATGGACTTCATCACTACTTTTGAAAAATGTATTATGCCTAAGAAAATTTCCCGTGGACCGGCAAAACACTTTTGTGGACCGCCGCCGGTCCGCGGGTCGCAGATTCTAACTCACCTGGGTCACATCTGATGTTCGGATTCCCTTCAAACCCAGCTCTGCACCTGCATACGGGCCTATGACTGGTAACGCTACAGTCTGCATTCTGTCCACAATTGCAAGGATCTCTGCAGTCTCGGTTGATACACGCCAGCTGTTCAGGGCATTCAGTGTCACTCTTGCAGCCTTCTTCTACCTCTACTTTCACTGCAATGCAAATTTTTCATAATTTAACAATACCACTCTTTCAACCGATTAGGGGTAGATGAAACTCACCACACTGAGTGTAGCCATCCCCAATGGTTCCCTGAGGGCACTCACAAACCATGGATTTGATGGGCAGGGAGTCAACCACCCTGCAGATTGCCGAGGGATGACAAGGACTCAACGCTCGACACGGGTCTTGGCATCTCTCCTCAATGCAAGCTAGCCGAGTACCACAATCTCCATCCTTCACACACTCAGGCTGCAGCTCAGGTTCAGGCGGTCTACAGAACACCCTCGGGTCTCCAGTCAATCCATCAGGGCACCGACAAGTTGCAACGTGCGACAAGGTGAAGCAAACTGCCTCACGGGCACACGGGTTCTCATAAACGCAAGGGTCCACGCATTGGCGGTTGATGCAAGCCTTGTCCAATGGACATTCTTCATCAGACTTGCATCCTACTGTTGTGCACTTGGTGAACGGGTTTCCTTCAAGACCCGGGGGACATCGACAATCGGCCTTATGGTTCTTCGTGGTGCACTCAGCATTGATTGCACAAGGGTTTTTCACGTAGCAGGCGTCAACGCATTGTCTGTCGCGACAAGTTTTGTCCAGGGGGCATTCATGGTCTCCCCTGCATCCAGCTGGAAAAAATAACAATATTCGAAATGAGTCCATTGAATGTCAATAATTGACGTTTATTCTCACCAAGCTGACAGCTGATCTGTGGATTGCCTTCGTAGCCGTCCTTGCATCTGCAAACCGGGCGGTGGTTTATCACGGAACAATCAGCATTGATGCCACAGTTGCAAGGGTCTCTACACTGCCTGTTGATGCAAGCCAGTTGGACAGAGCATTCTAGATCACTCTTGCACCCTTCTTCAACCACTGGCTCAACTGCAAAAAAAACCCCAAAAATTAGAGAAGGTCCAGAAATTCAAAGAAAAAAGTCAATTTACCGCATTGAGTGTAACCATCTCCAATAGTCCCAGGGGCGCAAGTGCAAGTGGTAGTCTTTATTGGTGAGGTTTCGAAGACTTGACAAGTGGCACTGGGATGACAGGGCTTCAAAAGTTGACAAAGATCCTGGCAGCGTTCATCAACGCATCCAAGCCCTCTGCCACAATCAGCGTCCTGTAAACACTCTGGCTGGACTTCCGGGGCTGGTCTCCTGCAGTATTCTCTTGGGTTACCCTGGGTTCCTGGCGGGCACTGGCAATTGGCCACATGCCCCAAAACATAGCAAATGGCTTCTGAAGCACACGGCCGTTCCGTCACGCACGGATCTATACAGTTTCTAGATCTGCAAGCTTTATCCAGTGCGCATTCAGAATCGGAATCGCATCCCAACGGCAAACATTTCAGCAGAGCATCTCCTTCAAAGCCTCGTGGACACCTGCACAGGGCTTTGTGGTTACTTGGATAGCATTCTGCGTTTGCTGCACAGCGGTTTTCAACAAGACAAGGATTCAAGCATTGTCTATTGTAGCAGGCTTTGTCCAACGGACAATCGGCATTTGATTTGCAGCCACCTAGAAATAAATCCCTCGTTTGAAAATAAGAACGATTAAAAAATAATAAATCAAGCTAACCTTCTTCACAACCGATGTTCGGGTTGCCCTCGAACCCGGGTTTGCACCTGCAAATCGGTCTGTGGTTGATGACATTGCACAGAGCATTTGGACCGCAGTTGCAGGGATCCTGACAGCGTTTGTTGATGCAAGCCAGTGAAGATTCACATTCCACGTCACTTCTGCAGCCCTCTTCAACAACTGGAGAAACTGGAAACAACGTTCACCCCATGTTACCACGCCGGAAATGAAAGAAATCTCAAGCAGACACTTACCACATTCATTGTAGCCGTCTCCCACAGTCCCATACGGGCAAGAACAAGCCATGGTTTTTACAGGAGACGTGTTGAGAACTTTACAATCGGCAGACGGATGGCACGGATTAATGATACGACAGGGATTCTGACAACGTTCGTCCAAGCATGCCAAGCCAGAGGGACAATCGAAATCTTTCCTACACTCTGGCTCATTTTCCACAACAGCAGGTTGCTGACAAAACTCCAAAGCATTCCCTTCGAACCCAGGAGGACATCGGCACTCTGCTCTATGTCCCAGCACAAAGCAAATGGCATTTGATGCACACGGGTTGTCGTACACGCAGGGATCAACGCAAGAACGCTGTTTGCATGCTTTATCCAATGGACATTCTGAGTCTCCTTGGCATCCTGGCAGTTGACACCGGGTGTAAGGATTGCCTTCTAAGCCCGGGAGACATCTGCAGGATGCCTTATGATTCTCAGGATAACACTCGGCTTGCAAACCACACTGATTACTGATCAAGCAAGGATTCCTGCAGTTCCTATTGTAGCATGCCTCGGTATACCCGCAGTCCGCATCTGACTTGCAACCACCTAAAAGCCGCCAAGAAACTTTCAACACTTCAGTTCATGAGCAGAAGAGGAGCAATAACTCACCTAGCTCACAGGCGACTTGTGGATTTCCTTCGTAACCGGGTTTGCATCTGCAGATAGGCCTGTGATTCACAACTGTGCAATCAGCGTTCCTGCCGCAATTGCAGGGGTCCCTGCACTCCCTGTTTATGCAAGCCTCAGCTGACCCACAGTCTCCATCAGACCTGCATCCCTCGTCTTCAACGGGCTCAACTGAAGTCACAACACCCTCATTGGTTTCAAATCTACGACCAATGCTTGTGTTCCTGTAGCTGGTGTGGCTGTGTTGGGAGGAAAGTCTTTTCTCTGGCACTTAAAACGCCCATGTGAGTCATTTGGAAATGTGAGTGCAGCATGCCGTGTTGTACGAACAGTGACAGGGTAGGAAGTCGTGCGCATGCAGATGTATCCAACCATTTTGTTCACAAAGAGGGCCACCCTGGCCCAATTCACCCAAAGCAAGGGTTTCAAACCAGGGTACCTCTTTGTCAGATGACAAAATGGCTGTTGTGTGTGTAAGGCGAATAAATAAAGACCCTGTACTCACCACAAGATGAGTAGCCATCTCCAAGGGTCCCAGGTGGACATGTACAGGTCATGGTTCGCACAGGAGAGGTGTTGACCACTCTGCAGACTGCTGTGGGATGACAGGGATTAATGACTCTGCAAGGATCCTCACAGTGCTCTCTGATGCAAGCATAGCCCGCGGGGCAATCAGGGTCAACTCGGCACTCGGGTTCGACTGGACGAGTGCAGTATTCCCTCGGGTTCCCGACATAACCAGGAGGGCAAGTGCATTCCGCCGCATGATTCAGAGGATAACACTGGGCATTTGGAGCACAGTCATTGCTGTACACGCACGGATCAACGCATTGACGATTCAGACATGTTTTGTCCAACGGGCATTCGGCATCTGATTTGCATCCTGGGGTTTCACACGGCGAAAACCCATCCCCTTCCAGGCCCGATGGACACCTACATAATGCCCTGTGATCATTGGGATAGCATTCCGCATTGATGGCACACGGGTTCTGGATGTAACATGGATTGACACATTGTCTGTTGTAGCAAGCTTGGTCGAAGGGGCACTCCGGATCATTTCTACAACCACCTGAGACACACAAATTCGAAAAAACATTCCCAAAACTCACGAATTCCATCGGAACTCACTTTCTCTGCAAGAAATCTGCGGGTTGCCTTCAAACCCAGGTTTGCACGTGCAAGTCGGTCTGTGGTTCCTCACAGTGCAAACTGCATTGGCACCACAGTTGCAAGGATCTCTGCATTCTCTGTTGATGCAAGCGAGGGTGTCGGGGCAGTCATAGTCGCTGACACACCCTGGTTCACTCTCAACTGCTTGAGGGACTGGAAACCATAATTCCGAAGCGTTAACATCCATCTCCAGACCAATTAAAAAAAAAAAAACGGGCTTACTCGGCTTGCATTCGTAATGAGGGTTGCCATTGTATCCCGGAGGGCATACACAGGTAATTGATTTCAGAGGGGAGTTGTTGATGACCTGGCATTCAGCGTTGATTCCACAAGGGCGCAGTTCGGTACACGGGTTCCGACAATCTCCATCAAAGCATGCCAAGTTCGTACCACACTCATCATCTCCCTTGCAACCCGTCTGGATAACTTGACATCCTCTCCTCGGATTCCCTTCATATCCAGGCGGGCAGCTGCAAACTGCTGCATGGTTGGCGGCAGAGCAAATGGCATTGATCCCGCAGTATTCATATAAGCACGGGTCCACACAGGTCCTGCTTCGGCAAGCCTTGTCCAGTGGACATTCTGCGTTTGAGTCACAACCCTCGGGGATACACCTGATCCTCGGATCCCCTTCGAACCCGGGTGGGCACGAGCACACAGGTTTGTGTGCTTCGGGAGTACAAATGGCTGACACATGGCAATTACTTCCAATCAGGCAGGGGTTCTCGCAACGTCGGTTGAAGCAAGCTTGAGTTGACGGACAATCAGCATCATTCCGGCAACCAGCTAGTTGGTTTTGATGGTGGTAAAACGTGGACAAACGGAGGGTAGGGTGCAAAAGTACAGCATGAGAGCACAGCAAAAGCACCAAGGCGAAGTATCCACACTTCTCACCATCATGCATTATGCACAACATTGGGTCTGCACCTATTTTGCCTATCCTCAACATTTTTCAATTTTTAAATATCGCCAAAATAGAGTGCATCCCACAAAAGAAACCAACCCAAGTCACCACAAACAGAACGTTTGCAGCAACAAAAGGCGTGTAGCTTTCCATTTAAAACCCTAGGACGCACGTTCCAGAGAAAAAAAGAAACATCTCAAAACTACTGTATTCATGATTTACTAAGAAAAACGTCCTGGCAAATTGAAGAAAACAATTCTCAAGGAGCACCAGGCCAGGAAATCTAAAAAATACTGTATATAGATGAACACTTCCTCAAAGACGGAACAATAAGGCTTTTCGCGTCGTAGAAAACCGGTACTTTTTGTCGGTACGCAACATCTACTCCAACTGGTTGAAAGCTACATCCCATGCGCAGCAATCTAATAAAAAACCATCACCTTAGAATGAGGTCAGGTCAAGTCAGGTTAGACAACGTCGGTCAGTTCAGTCTGTACCGGTTTTCATCTATATTCTCCTGCTAAAACCATGTCCGGAAAAATCTTGCTCTTGACTCAGGCTGCGTTTCGTTCTCAATTAGGCATGCTGTCTTGAACAAAGAAATCTTTTCAAAGCTCGGAGAAAAACCATGCCTAAGATATCGTATATTTACATGCAGCACTTTATTCGAAGTACTGTATGCACAGAGGCAAAATGCATGTCCTTGGAAGTGCAGAGCCTCGGTTATTCTTAAAAAAAAAAGTATACGTTTAGCCGAAATGCTTTGAGCATCGGGGAAGCTTAGAAGGAGTTGAAAAGATTTCCTGCGTTGGACGGACAAGTGCAAGATAATTTCCGCTGAAAAACAAAGCCTTCAGAATGGTTCTCGCAGGAGTGGCGTCAAGTGTGCATCATGGAACAGTGCGTGTAGGTGTTTGTGTAGAAGCGACCCGGTGAATGTTGCGTGCAGTGTAGCATGCCCAGAGAAAGCGTGTAGAAGATGGCAATGGACATGCAATGTGGGGTGTAGTTGGTAGGTTACCTCCTCTTGTCCGCTTGTCAAACGACATCCTACTCTGGCGCTCGTAGAAAGAAAAACAAACAACATTAAAAAGCTCACATTCAAAACATGCGGTGTGCGGGTTGCCCTCAAAGCCGGGGAGGCAAGAGCATATTTGGCGATGACTGATGACATTGCATTCAGCGTTTGATCCGCAATTACAGGGGTCTTGGCACTTGGCGTTGATACAGGCCAAAGACAAGGCGCAGTCTGAGTCTGACCGGCAGCCTGAGTCTGGCCGCTCTGGTTCAGGAACTGATGGCAAATTAAACGGGCATTAACCTCAACTTCCACACTTTGCGGCAAGCAGCATTGACCAGGCCCGATTAAAAAAAAAGAATCCATTCGAACAATCAGCTGGGAATAAACTCCCAGCACAAATGCTGTTCGTAAATTCAGAAGATCATTGTAAAATTCCAGCCTTACTCTGCGATTAAATTCCAATTCAGAAGGTGATTCAAACCTCAAGACAAAATTTACTTTCTGCTACAGGCGGCTCGGCCATACTGATATTTGCCACACCGTGGGCAAGTGAGGCAGGAACCTGTATCCTCATCCGAAACCAAAAGATCGGTCAGTGTTGGACTTACCTTTTCTGGAGTCAAAAAGCCCACAACCAAAAAATCCCAGCCACCAAAGGCAAACTAAAAACTTACTTGGTGAACAATAACGCGTAGGATTGCCTTCGTAGCCTGTCGGACATCTGCACACTGCTGCATGATTCTGAGGGAAACACAGTGCAGAAGTAGCACACGGGTTGTCCCTGCAAGGGTTGACGCAAGTGTTGGCCACACAGGCCTTGTCATAAGTGCATTGATCATCGGAGACACATTCCGGCTGTGCTTCAGTTACTGGTCTCAACGTCGTTACGACTACAAGAAGAGAAAAGAAACGAACACATTTTTCGTAAAATCAAGCAGCCAGATCCGATTCAAGGATGAGTCAAGTCTCACTTTGGTAGCAGTTCCTCGTAGGTTCCCCGGTGTAGCCTGGTTCACATCTACAAATCGTCCCGTGGTTCTGAGCTAAGCAATAAGCATTGATTCCACATGGCCTGCCGATGTTACACGGGTTTTTGCACTCCCTGTTGACGCAGACCTTATCCAATGAGCAATCTGTGTCCCTGACGCATTCCGGCTCTGCGACAGCTGAAAAGACGATAAAGACGTGATGCATTCCTCGGAAAAACGAATCTTGATCTCTTTTGTGAAATAATTCAAATCCATTGGAATATTAAAATAAGGTCAACTTCGCTCGCACGTCCCCGAAAAACAAATGAAACTTTTCAAATACAGTACTGTACTGTATTTCTAAATGTGCAAAATTCCCTCCGGCTTGAGAAAAACATACTCACCAGGCGCCTCACAGTTTCCACCGTTAGTAAGGTATGTATCAGGTGGGCATTCGCAACTGATGGACCTCACAGGCAAGGTGTCCTTCACCACGCAGTTCTGGTCTGGGTTGCACGGATTGGCGGCATAACACGGATTTTGGCAGACAGCATTGATGCATCCCATTTGACTCGGGCAATCAGCATCAGTCACACACTCTGGTTGCTGTTCTGGCTTTGGGGGTTGAGCTGTTCCGTGCAAAAATCATTCGGTGCTAGGTGATTTCTCATGCACGGCAGTGAGGAAATTCACATGCATTTTTCCTTGCCTTTTTCAAGACAGAACCCAACCCTTCGAGCCTACCATTTTATTCTTAATGAACCGAAGAAAACTCTTCGGATAACTCGAAAAACTGTTTCAAGCATGGAATGACTCAAGAAATAAGTTTCCTTCACGAAGGACAGACATATTGATCATCACATTTGATCTTCTGGAAAGGGTGCAAAAAGTAAACAGAGCACGGCATTTTCAGACGTTTCGGAATGCCAGAAGTAAGGTTACATTACATTCCTAACAGGTGAAACAGATTCGAAGAGAGGCGAGAGCTTACCTCTTCTGCATTCCACATCAGGGTTGCCGACATACCCAGGTGGGCATTCACATACAGCTCTATGGTCTACTCCCCTGCAGACTGCGTTAGTTGGACAGGCATTATTGCACACTTTGTAGCACCTCTGATTCTGTCGGTCGCAGGCTTCGTCGAAATTGCAGTCCTCATTGAACTGGCAACCCACCGCCACACAGGACACTGATGGGTCGCCTTGGGTTCCAGGTGGGCAGAAGCAGCGCGGGCGATGTTGTGAAACCCGGCATTCCGCATTTGCACCGCAACGGATTTGACCATATCTATACTCATCGAACAGATTCACATAATAACATATTTCAATGAACATAAAATAAATACGGTAGCCTAATGAGATTCTGAATTTCTCGTGAAATTTCAAACTCAAAGAAGCAACCGCGTAATACTACATCGGTTGTACATTCGAGGTCAAAAACCGGTATTTTTACCTGCATGGGTTCAGGCACTGGCCATTCAGACATGCCAGGGAATCTGGGCACTCATTGTCGTCCACACATTCAGCTGCAACGCAGAAGCACAATGTTGAAATAAATTAAAAGAATACAATTGAGCAACGTTTGGCACTCACGTTTGAAGCACTCAATGTTGGGATTTCCTCCCCACCCCGGGGGGCAGGTGCAGATCGGTCTGTGCGACTGGACCCTGCACACAGCACCCCGGCCACAAACATTGCCATTGCAGGGGTTCTCACACTTCTCTCCGAGGCAAGATTTGTCATCAGGGCAATCCGAGTCATATCTGCATTCTGGTGCCCTAGTAACTGGAACTGCATTGACGATTTAAAAAAAAACCATCAGCACATTTTAAACATATACGTTCGAATGCCCGAAACATAATCGTGAGGTTACTGCTGTTATAATTGGCTCAGACTGAATGATTATTCATGAGTAACCAAAAAAACCGATGCATTCCACTGTACCTTCACTGCATCCAAGCGCAGGTTCACCAGTAGTACCCTCAGGGCAAAAACAGTATGCCCTGTGCTCAAAAGGTTTGCAAATGGAGGTTGGTGGGCAAGGGTTAGCAGCGTAACACGGATTCTGACACAGGCTGTCCAAGCAGGAGTTAACGTTGTTACAATCATCATCTGCTTCACATTTGCGTCCAGGCCGCGGAGTAACTGTCAGTCAAGCAAAGCAAGTTTCCCACCAAAACCAAATTGTTATAGCCAACAAATTAGAGTACCGTGAATAGTCAACCACATTTCCTGCCTGTAGTAAAAAACAAGACACTGCGTACTTGGTACTTCTTCGGGGGTTTGACCAAAGGCACTCCCACTCTTCCACCAAAAATGAGGTTCAAATAGAATGTCACCAAAACCCAGACTTTGTTGGTAAAATCAAGAAACAAATTCCACAAGCCTCAGATTTTTTTTTCATGCCATCAGTCAATCGTATTCTTCGCAAAAAATGTGGTTTGACTCATCAGGGATAGTTAGGGAATCATTAGTTACAGCAGAAAAGATTCGGGAAAAATACTAACTTGTGTAGCAGTTCCTGTAGGGATCCCCAGTGTAGCCATCCGGACAAGAGCATTCAGCTTTGTGAGCGATCACAGCACAGCGCGCTGAGTCTGCACACGGATTGGCAACTATGCACGGATTGACGCATTCCGTGTTCCTGCAAGCTTCATTCAATCTGCAGTCAGCATCACTCTGGCATCCGACGGGTTCTTCCACAGCTGCTGATCCCAACAAAATGTCCATCAGTTTTTATATTAAATTGGAGTATCACCCAGGCCACCACGCCGACCTCGTGATATGCACACACATACAGTACATACACATACACACACTTCACCATCACTCATTCATCCACGGCAGGAAATCAAACATTTTACAATATTTTACACAAATTGGCTAACCAATCCATCCACCACTCAGTTAATCAAGCGAACCAGGTTCCTGCTCCTAAAAAAATCTCCTCGTCAAGTTCCCTGCAACGAAAACTCAGTCACCATCATTAGCATTATTCGGCGCTTTACCTTGAGCTCCATCCAGCGAGTTGATGAACTACGAGGTATTATTCATAAAGCATTAGAAATCCTTTCAGGAGAGGAATTGATTTATGTATCAGTCAGTATTAGGGTTCGATTAGGTGATATATTGAATGCAAGCGTTGAAGTTAGACTCACGTCGCTGGCAAGAACGTTCTGGGTTCCCGACGAACCCAGGAAGACATTCACAAGTCATCGTTCTTGACGGAAGGGTGTCGACCACTTTACAAACTGCATTTAGGCCACATGGTCGCAGTACATCGCAGGGATTCACACAATCCCCATTGATGCACGCCAGTTTGCTGTAACAATCCGAGTCCTGCGCGCAACCAACTTCAGCGGCTTCTGTCACCGGTTCTGGAATTTTCAGATCACCAATATTTTCGGCATATATTATCAACAGAGTTTGGATAGATAAGACAAGTGTTTCAGCTAAAATGAAGAATTTCATACAACTTTATTTAAAAAAAAACTTTGATGCGACTCACCAGGGATGCATCCAACATTGGGATTGCCAGTGTAACCTGGAGGACAGTAGCAGACTCCGAGATGATTCTGAACATGACAGGCAGCTCCAGGTGGGCACTTGCACGGGTCCACACATCGCTCATTTTCGCAAGTCAAAGTAAGTGGACAGTCATAGCTGGAAACACACTCTGGCCTGGTGCAACCTGTGACTGGGTTTCCTCTGAAGTCGGGTGGACAGTAGCAGACTGCTCTGTGATTTTGTGCCCTACACAAGGCCTGCGGTCCACATTGCTGGTACAAGCAAGGGTCTTTGCATTCCTTTTCCACGCACGCTTCAGTGATGAGGCATTCAGAGTGAGCTTTGCATCCAACTGCAACAAAACCATTCAAATTTTTTCTTTAGAATAAACTCATCATATTTCAGACAACCGGGAATTCGACAGTGAATGCTGAAATAATCAAAGCTGGAACGGAGAGTGAATGGTGATCACTTACGCTCTCTGCATTCAGATTGTGGGTTCCCAACGAAACCTTCAGGACAACTGCACACAGGCCTGTGCTGGACAGAGTTGCACAGAGCGTTGGATGCGCAAACTTGTTGATAAGCCCTGCATGCCTCGACGCACTCGTTGTTCACACAAGCATCAGTTGATGGGCATTCTGAATCTCTGGTGCATTCCACACTCTCTCTTTCTGGCTCTGTAAAATAAAATAAAACCATGATTTGTTCTGCATCATTATTCCCTCGCGAATTCAGGAGTCTCACCTTGATATTTTTCACAGCTTTGCAGAGGATTGCCAGAGAATCCAGCAGGGCAAATACACTTCGGATAATGGTTTCTGGTCTCACACAAAGCGTTCAGCCCACAGGTGTTCAAGCAAGGATCCGTGCACTTGTAGTTCACACACGCCAGGAAGTCAGGACAGTCATTGTTGGCTTCACATTCCCTGAAGCAGCCCAACTCAGGATTGCCAGAATATCCGGTGTCACAGACGCACTTGAAACTGTCGTATCCCTGGGATACACAGTATGCATTTCTTCCACAAGGGTTCGTTTGACAAGGATCCACCCTAACTGGTTCCTCAGTAACTAAGATATCCAAAATTAATTACTTCGCGAATCAAAATCAAGAAACAAATTAAGAACATACTTGGATCGCATCTGGAGAATCCATCCCCAGTGAAACCAGGCGGGCAATAGCAGCGCGGATCATGATTGATAACATTGCACTGAGCATTGACCGCACAGAGCCCCGGGCATGGGTCCTGGCACCTATAATTGATGCAGGACAGTTGAAGTGCACAATCCCTGCTGTATTCACATTCCCTCCTGCAACCCGCGATTGGATTGTCGCCGAAGAAACCCGGCAAACATGCGCAAATCGCGCGATTCCCGTCCACTTTGCATTGAGTATTCGGACCACATGGTGATGGGTTGCACGGGTCTGCTGGTTCATTCTCCACTTGGATAGTTACTGAAAAAATTCAAAAATAAACACATTTCATTTCTGAATTGGAAGACACATGAATGCACCGCAAAAGAACTCACGGGCATCACAACGGATCCTTGGATCACCAGTGTATCCTCGCGGACAAGCGCAAACTGGTCTGTGATTTCTCACGTCACAGATGGCATCTATCCCGCAGTAGTTCAAGCAAGGGTCCACACATTTCTGATTCTGGCAGGCAAAGTAAGTAGCACACTCATTATCCTGGACACATTCTGGCTTGCAGCCCCCAGCGGGGTTCTTGAAGTAGCCAGGCAAGCAGTTGCACACGGGCCGGTTGTTATGGACCTGGCAGTCGGTGTTTGGTCCACATGGATTCGGGTAGCATGGGTTCGGTGGGAGCTCCGGTTTCGGTGGAACTAAAAATAACAGGACGATATGTTGACGGCAAAAATCAATCCACAAAAAAATAGGATCTTACTTCTAGAGCAGCCGTAATACGGGTCTCCAGTATATCCAGGTGCACAATTACAGATGGGGTTGTGCGCGATGACATCACAAAGTGCCTGGGGTCCGCAGGTGCCGGGACAAGGATCCACACACTTGTTCCTAACACAAGTTTTGTCCTGCGGGCATTCAGAGGCACTGAGGCATTCCGGTCGGCATCCAGTGTCAGGGTTTCCGAAGTAGCCCGGCAGGCATGTGCAAACCGGTCTACCATCGACAACTCGGCATGTCGTGTCAGAACCACATGGTGATGGATTGCAAGGGTCCCTGATAACTTCTGGTTGTACAGGAACTAAAAAACACAAATTCATATCGTTTTCAAAAAAATCCTGCTACGCGACTCTATTTGAACATGGGCATCATGCGGTATAATGAGCGCCAAGAAAGTCCGGGTAGAAAAACTGGAAACTTACCGGGCTCACATCGCACATAGGGACTCCCGAAGTAGTTGGGAGGACAACTGCAGACAGGAGCCTGGTTCACCACTTCACAATTAGCATTGACACCACAAGGCTGCGGCTGACACGGGTTCACGCATTTGGCATTGATACAAGCCTTGTCCCTCGGGCATTCCGAGTTTACCAGGCACTCAGGGTGACAACCCCTTTCTGGGTCTCCAAAATACAGCGGCAAGCATGTGCACACTGGTCTCCCTTGAACCACATCGCAAACAGTGTTGGGACCACACGGGTTAGGGTCATTGCAAGGGTCTGTCTCCACTGGCTGCACCTCTGGGCGAACGTCTGCAAAAGGCATAATTCGTCACGAACCCCGGGAATCTAAAAGACCTGACCCTTGTCAACTTACAATCACAGCGCACATAGGGATTTCCACCATATCCTTCCGCGCAGTAGCACCTGGGTCGATGGTCGGATACTTCACATAAGGCGTTCACTCCGCAACTACCTGGACAAGGGTCCAGGCATTTATTGCTGATGCACGTCCTGTCTCTGGCACAATCTGGGTCAATCACGCATTCAGGCCTGCACCCAGTGTAAGGGTTGCCCAGGTATTCAGGGAAGCAAGTGCACACTGCTCTGTTTTCTTGCACCCTACAGTTTGCATTGGCTCCACAAGGTGATGGATAGCATGGGTCTACTGGCGCAGGTGGTCTTGTTGGTTCAGCTGTAAACGAAATTCCAGAACACATTTTGCACTGCCTTCGACAGAAGCGACAGTGACAGACACAGTCCTCAAACATTCCTATCAATTTCAGCCTATCAATTTGCTTCATGCAGTCATTAAACTGCTATAAGCCCTGATAATCCTTGACAAAAGGAACACGACAGCACGTAGTCCTCGAAAGACTCCTATTCACAAACAATTTCACATTTTCCTGAACCGGACTCACACTCCACCAGAGGCCTGCACTGGAAGTAAGGGTCCCCTTGAAATCCTGTAGGACAAACACAGATAACATTGTGGTTCTGTACAGAGCAATCGGACCCTGAGCCGCAGCCAGCAGGACAAGGGTTCACGCAAGAATTGCTGACGCAAGCCTCGAACGGCCTGCAATCAGAATTCTGAGAACACTCAGGCTTGCATCCCGTGTACGGGTTCCCAGAATGTTGATGCAAGCATGAACAAACTGGCCTGTTAAACACTATCATGCAGTTGGTGTTCGGACCACAAGGGGACGGACTGCAAGTTCCCACAGCTGCGAAGAAGAAGACAAAAAATACTGGTTTGTTCAAATCTTTCACACATTCTCTGAATGTCGGACATGGAGATTCGATCCCCCGAAGTACCATATTCACGAGAGTACCCAGCACAATTTTTTTCTCAAAATTGAGAGGAAAAAGGGGGTGCGCGTCATAGGCAGGGATACATTTTACAAAAATGTTAGAAGTTCACGAGCGTGTCACACTTGAATACATTATGAATGACGAATTTCAACAGGAACATTTTTTCAAGTCAAAACAATTGAAAATTAATCGAATCAAGGTTGAATTCATGTTCAAGTTCGAATTCTGGTGTTTCGCATTTTAGAAATACAAGTCAACCCTCGATTTACGGCCCGATTTAGTGCCACAAATTTCCCTGGAACAAATCTCTCCATTGTGACCTTACTGGAAACCCTGATTTAGTGCCAACTCCCTTAGTGCCACCAGAAAAGAACTCCTGTTCTTTATGAAAAATACGCCAAAAAAAGAGAAATTAAGGCATATTCCTAGGGATTTCATTCGGTTATACTGAGAATCACACGCCTACTCTCAGAAAAAATTTAAAAAATTTATATTTCTGAATTTACACGTACAGTGATTGGGTGACTTCATTTAAATTTTCTCCGTAGCGAAGAGCATCTCAATTACTGGGATATTCCCTTCAAATAAATTAAAATCACTCCACCTGGCCTCGGAAGTTTGTACTTTCCTTGAAAGGTTGATTCAAAACTCCAAGAAACAGTTCCACTCTTCTACTTGCCCCAATTTGCGCAAAAATCTAATATATTCTGTACTGCAACATAAATTTAAATGCAGTAAAAAGTCTAAAAACAGTTCATTTGAGCCTCAAAGTATTTTCTTTTTTGTACAACAGACTCAATGGCTTAACAATTCTGCAAAAAGCCTGTTTTACCTACAGCAGAAGCCCTCAAATGAATTTTATTCTGATACAATATTCTCGATTTAGTGCCAACCTTGCTTAGAGCACAGAAGGTGCCAGGACAAACGATGGCACTAAATCGGGGTTTGACTTTACTGCATTGTAATTTTTCGGTCACTAAAAATGGGGTTCGTGTCTTACTTGGGGATCGGATTTTATCAAAGTTTTAGGGTGAAAAATTGGGGTGCGTGTGTCTGACACGAGGGCGCGTGGTACTCGAGTAAATGCGGCAATTCGATTACATCAGTACTGTAACCATGGTCTCCACGGACATCAACCAGCCCGCTTCCAGTATGATATTGAATAGGGGAGCTCACCTGGGATACCTGGGACACTTGGGACACCTGGAACAGTCTCTTCTTCAACAGCTTCGGTGACTCTGTTGCATCTCCTGTACGCATCACCAGTGTAACCAGGTGTGCAATAACAGACAGGAGCATGGGCCACCGTCTGACAGTAGGCATTCACCCCACAAACACCAGAACAAGGATCTATGCATCGGTTTCTAACGCATGACAGGTGTCGAGCACAGTCGGAGTCAATCACACACTCCGGCCGACAACTTATGAGAGGGTTCCCGAAGTAGCCTGGAATGCACCTGCAGATTGGCCTCCTACCACCAATCCTGCACTCGGTGTTACTGCCGCAAGGACTCGGGTTGCAGTAGTCTACAAATGGTGGCCTGGTGGTTACCGTTCCAACCTCCGTGGTGCCGCCTGCAAAATTCAAAAGACAACTACAGTACTGAGCACATCAAGACATAAACCAGAGGCTTATCAAAAACCTTGCAGAAAACTTACAATTAAAATTTACCAAATTTTAATCAGCTCATATGTTAACAAATGCAAATTGCATCCCATTCTTAGGGATGGAAAAATTATGAATAAAAATAATTTGAGAACCATTTTCGTGTGCCGGGAACTTTTCCGGCAGAAAAACGTGCAATTTCTCAATTTCTCTATGATCTCCTTGTGACCTTTTGGTTTTAAAAACGAATGAAAATTCTGAAAAACTGCTCCGGAACGAAGGTTTAAAGCAGATTACAAGTGCTAAATAAGCGTCTTTGAAAAATGTTGCGAGGAATTTATTGTTTGATTTTCCTGTTGACGAGTGAAAAATATTTGGAATTATTGTACAATACTGATGAAAATGTGCGGCGTTTGAAGAATACATCTGGAAAGCTCTGAGGCAAATGTAATCAAATCCTCGGAAAAATGCCAGACCGAAGTAGGAGGATCCTCAAAAACAAAACAAAAATGAAGCATTTGTTATTTTTCACAGCACTCACTTCCAGGCGTTGGTCAGCACAGGTACTGTACATTAAATTCGTTCCGATCACAATCTTACCAATTAATGGAAGTGATGGGATGACTTTGTTCAATTGAACGAAAAATTGATGAAAATTTACCCCTCAGTTTCATCTGCCAACAATTAAAATCTGCTGGTGACACGCAGACGCTTTGACAAAACACTCGTATCCAGGATATAGTACTCACTCGGTCCACTCGGAAACGGGATGCATTGCACAAAAGGGTCCCCAGTCAGGTGGGAGGGACAGTAGCAGACGGCATTATGGTTGTTGACCTCACATCGAGCATTGGTTCCACAAGACCCAGCACAAGGATCAACACACTTGTTCCTCACACAAGCCAAGTTTCTCGAGCAATCCGAGTTCAGTACACACTCTGGCCTGCACCCACTCAACGGGTTGCCGAAATAGTCTCTCAAACACGAACAGATCGGTCTTCCAGAACTGACCCTACACTCGGTGTTTGGTCCACAAGGACTCGGCACACAGGCATCACCGGTAGCTGTCGGGGTCTGCTGTTCCACACATTGCAGGAATGGGTTCCCAGTGAAACCTTGCAAACAGGAGCATATAGGATTGTGATTGCCCACTTGACACGCTGCATTCACTCCACACGTGTTGGGACAAGGGTCTTTACACTTGTTCCCGATACACGCCGAAGACAAAGGGCACTCTGAGTTGGATACGCATTCTGGTCTACAGCCAACAATCGGGTTCCCCGAAAATCCCTGGGCACATATGCACACTGGGCGACTTCCAGAAGGGATGCAATCCGCATTCAGTCCACAAGGTGATACAGCACAAGGATTAATCGGTGGTGGTCTGGTAGGTAGTGGTGGTTGTCCAACAGATCCTTCTGGTTCTTCCGTGACGATCGGTGGTCTGACTACTGGGGGTCTCGTACCTGGCTGACCAGGAATTACCGGAGGGATAAACGGCTGCTCAGTGATGACAGGAGGTCTAACGATAGGCGCTTCAGTGATGGAAGGCGGCCTGACGACTGGGATGTCCGTGATGGAAGGCGGCCTAATAATTGGAGAATCCGTGATGGCAGGAGGCCTAACGATCGGACGCTCTGTGATGACAGGTGGCCTGATGAATGGAGGTTCCGTGATAGAAGGAGGCCTGATGGCAGGAGGTTCAACAATGCCAGGTGGCCTAACAGGAGAATCGGTAACTGGAGGAGCTCCAGTTACCGGCGGACCAATTGGCACCGATGGACTCTCCGTCACTACTCCTGGTGGACCAACAGGTTCAGTGGCAACCGGTGAACATCCTCCACTGTAAGCATCCCCTGTCAATCCAGGAAGACAGCTACACAGAGGTTTATGGTTCACCACAGTGCACTGTGCATTAAATGCACAAGATCCCAAGCAGGGATCCCGGCATTTTTGGTTCACACATGCTTCCGCCAGTCCACAGTCTTCGTCCCTCAAGCACTCTGGCTGACAGATTCGATAAGGGTTCCCAACATATCCAGGGATACACTGACAAGCCCCATTTACACACTCTGCGTTGGCTCCACATGGCGGGTCACAACCTGTGGTACCAGGAGTCGAGTCAGGCTGCCCAGAAATGGAAGCGCATACCGAGAAAGGATCCCCAGTGTAGCCTGGCTTGCATTGACAGAATGGCTTGTGGTTTCTCACTAGGCAATCTGCATTGACTCCGCAGAAGTTCTTGCAAGGATCTATACAGTCCCCATTCCTGCAGGCCTCATTAAGTAAGCAGTCTGCATCCAGCAAGCAGCTCTCGGTGCAGCCTGTGATAGGGTTACCAATGAATCCTGGTTTGCAAATGCAAGCGGCATATCCCTCTGTTGAGACGCACACTGCCCCAGGGCCACAGTCCACTCCAGAACAAATGTCATCCTCAACAGCTTCAGGCTCAAACGCTGGGGACGGAGTCGGGGTCAAGCTGCCGCCAGGAGCCTCAACAACAACAACCACTGGCTGCTGAAGGATCGGAGGGCTTTCTTCTTTTATAGGTGGCAGTGGCGGTCCTGCAGTTGCAGCCTGAACTTCAACTGGTTCGAGGGTGAATGTCTGAACCACTGGTATAATCTCATTTTCTGCTGTATTTGGCACAGAAGGCGCCACTTCAACTGGAACAACAGGCACAGCCAATCCAGGCTTGATCTCCGAAAGTGGCGGCAATTTCTCCGGATGCTCAGCAGTGGGTTTCAACAATACTGGCACTTCTGGTAGTTGTGGTTCATTCGGAAACACTTCTGGTCTTTTCGGTGGCACTGCAATAATACCCACCGGAACTAATGGGCCTTCTGTCGTGGGATTTCCTATACAACCAGAAACATAGAATCAGAAGCAAGAACTTCATGAGGGATCAGAAAGGGAACGATGAGAAGACAGAAGATTGAACTGAAGATAAATCTTCTTTTCAACCGAAGAAGAATCGGAGTGGAAAGGAATGTGGAAGAAGGAAGGAATGCCAAACCCACACACAGAACAGTGCTAAGAAGAAGAGAATGACAGAAAAGAACTCAAGGAACTAGAAACAAATTCTCACCTCACTGCTCCACCAAATGCCGACAGTGCAACTAAGAATCACTCGAGTAACGCAACAAGGAAAAAGGCATCAACGAACACTTATTTAACGAGGACAGTGCTGTCAAGATTCCTAGTCAAGACCTAACATGCTCTAACAGGGCTAATTATCTGGTTGAGGACAGTGCTGTCAAGACTCAGAATGTGCCGAAAGGCTACCTCACCACAGATTGGTAAGGCTACCCCAAGACACTACTCACTACGATTCAACTTACGTGGAATGACCCGACATTGATAGAAGGGGTCTCCAGTGTAACCTGGAGGGCACCTGCAGTTGGGCTTGTGGTTGTAAACCTCACACACGGCCAGTATTCCACAAGTGCCAGGGCACGGGTCCACGCATTTCTGTCCTACGCAGGCCTTGTCCAGAGGGCAGTCACTGCTCATGAGACACTCATGGCTGCAGCCATACCACGGATTGCCCTGTAGACCTGGTAGACATGCACAAGCTGCCCGATCACCCTGAGCGTAACACTTGGCATTTGGTCCACAGGGTTGCTTGTAGCATGGGTTCACTTGGTTGTCCGGACCTGGATATATCCAAAAGGAAATTATTTTCTGAGAATCGACTGGACTTCAATCTCAAACTCACCTGGTCTTTCAGCGCCAATGGGTGCTGGTCGACAGCCTTCAAAAGCGTTTCCGACATATCCGGGGAGGCATTCACAGGTTGGATTGTGGCTCACGGTTTGACACAACGCATTTGCACCACAAAGCCCAGGGCAAGGGTCTACACATCTCTGATTGATGCAAGCGAGTTCTGGGGAGCACTCACTGTCTGCAATGCACTCTGGTCTACAGTGATGGTAAGGGCTTCCAACGTAGTTCGGAGGACAGACACACTTCGCTTGGCCGGAGTCCACTAAGCACAATGCTCCCGACCCACAGGGATTAGGTTCACAAGGACTCGAGACTGCTGGTGCTGAAACAATTATAATTCATCCATATGTTTCAACGAAAAACATTCAAGAATACTTCATTCGTATTTGCTTACATTGTTCCACGACACATCGGCTGAAGGGATCCCCCGTATAGCCAGGAGGGCATTGGCAAATCGGAATGTGATTGACTACGCTGCAATCTGCTCCATACCCACATGAGCCTGGACAAGGATCTTTACACTCGAGATTCACGCACGCTTTGTGCATGTCACAATCTGCATTGATGCTGCACTCAGGCCTACATGGCTGCCCGAAGTAGCCCGGTAAGCAAGAGCAAATGGCTTCTCCATTCTTGACCCTGCACTCAGCATTAGAATCACATGGATTTGGGTTACACGGATCTTCTTCCTTGACTTCTGGTGTAACTGGTGGAGGATAGCACCTAAAATCAAAGAAAGAAACCATTCAGAGATCCGAGTCTTCGAAAAACTGAAGTGATTATTTAATCCAACCTTCTGAAAGGGTCACCCGCGAACCCATTGGCACAGGTGCACACGGGGTCATGTTCCTTCACACTGCAGATAGCGTTAAGCCCACATGACCCTGGACAGGGATTCCTACACTTTTGGTTGATACAGGCTTTGTCCAACGGGCATTCTGAATTGACCACACATTCTGGCCGACACCCAACCTCTGGATCTCCGCCATAATATGGGATACATGTGCAAACCGGTCTGCCTTCTGCAATGGTGCACTCTGTGTTGATACCACAGGGACTAGGGTTGCACGGATCCTCCGGCAGTTTTTCAATGACCGCTGCAAAACACGGAACAAATAGTTTCAGAAGAACAAGCAACACTTCCGATGAGAAAAAAAAACTTACGTTGAGCGAAACAGGACTTGTACGGGTCCCCAGTCATCCCTTCCGGACAAGAGCAAATGGGCTGATGGTTCTTTACTTGACACCTTGCATTGAGGGCACAGGCACCACAAGGATCCCTGCACACCTGTCCAATGCAAGAAAGCAACTCGGAGCACTCAGAATCTCGGTAGCACTCTGGTCCACACCCTTGACTGGGATCAGGTTTCGGATAAAATCCTGGTGCACAGTCACAAATTGGTAGTCCTTGAGAATCTACTCGACAATTCGAGTTCGGACCACACGGGTTCGAGCGGCATGGGTTTCGATCAACTGGCCTCGTGCATCCTGTGACAGGGTTACCTTCGAATCCTGGGGCACAATAGCACTTGCCGTTGACGCAGTTGGAATTTGGCCCACAGGCTGCACTGCATTCATCAGTTACTGGCGCTGGCAAATTCAGTGAACACATTTATAGCGTTTTGTACGGATTTTAACAAATGACCAATTACTCACAAGTACACCCAGAATACGGTTCACCAACAGTGCCGGGAGGGCAGAAGCACACGGGTTGTCTGTATGAATCACATTGAGCACCTGGCCCACAGGGGTTCGGGCTACATGGGTCTGGACGTCTGCAGCCCTCAACAGTATTTGGATCTTCAATGAACCCAGACCTGCACACGCATCTGTAGTAGCCATTCACCACATCGCACATGGTGTTCGGTCCACCTGAAATCAAACACAATTCGTTTTCCATTTTCCTCAAGTATATAAAACACTTGATCAACTCACAAGGATTCGGCTGACATGGATTTTGAGGTCTCCTGCAAGGCACATTGGGAGGCTGTCCTTCGAACTCCGGTAAGCAGAAACAGGTCACTTGTCCAGCAATCACTCTGCACCCGGAATTGGCACCACAAGGGTTCGGTGAACAGATGTCTCCTTCAGGCACTAGATAGACAAATAAATCATGAGTAACTGTAGCGAAATATATTTTCCTCAAGTTGATTTCATCGAAACTTACAGCATTTGTGGTAAGGATTCCCAGTGGTTCCTTTGGGACACAGGCAGATAGCAGCGCCGTTCTCCACTTGGCACAGGGCATCTTCTCCACACGGATTCGGTTCGCAAGGATTGAATGGCTCTACAAAGTTTTCACAGTGCAAAAACGTGCCAAATACAATTGTACAAGTGCTCAAGTGCTACCAAGCTTTGATTACAACAAATTTTACGATCGGATCCCTGCCGTGGGGCTCTCAAGAGAGAAATGTACAGTACAGAATGATACAGATGTGGATGAAAAACTCACTGATGGTGCATTCAATGTAGGGATTTCCAACATGCCCCGGAGGACACTTGCATCTGGGCTCATGGTTGACAACCACGCATCCCGCGTTTGTGCCACAACTCGAAGCATCGCAAGGGTTCCTACAAACTCGGTTCAACCGGTCACACAGCTCATCCAGCGGACAGTCCTCATTGTACTGACAGGCCGGTTTCCCAGTGGACACTAGGAGGCCAATAAATCGCATGAGCTACATGCTTACAAAAAATGCAATCCCATAACCAAAGCTTCCAAACAAAGCAAGAAAACCAGCCAACACCGAGTCAGGCAACATGCAATCGTCACGAGTGCGAGTCGATTTTTTTTTTGGTGCTCTGTGCAAGGTTGGGGCATTTTGGTGGGTGGTGCAATGGACAGTCCCACATCTTGAACGAGGAACATCCCAAAATCTGATCTAATCATCCTTCCAGGGCAAGTCGAACATTATTAGTCCATGCGCCCGAATCAACGCTTGAAGAAAATTAGAAGATCTTGAGAGATTCTTCACACAAGGACAAGGTGATGGAGGGGGTACTGCCATTGAGACCCATGATTACCTTCGCAGAGCCTCTTGGGGTTCCCTTGAAATCCATCAGGACAGATGCAAATAGGCCTGTGCCGCAGGACTTGACACCGGGCATTGATCCCACACGTGATCCCACGGACACAGGGGTCCAGGCAGATGTTGCTTATGCATGACTTAGTAGGTGAACATTCTTCATCCAACTTGCAACCAACTGATGCAACATCATTATCGGAACATTTTCCTATTACTCATTGATTCGATCGTGGAACAGTTGAGGGCTAAGTTGGACGAAGGCTTACTTTTGTTACAGAGCAGATAGGGATCTCCTACAAAGCCCTCAGGACAAAAGCAGGATCCTTGCAGGACATCACACACTGCACCTGGCCCACAGCTGGCACACCCACCCTTGCAGACCCCAGAGACACAAACCCGACCTGGCCCACAATCCTCTTGAAGGATGCATTTGACTCTCACACAGGCCTGGTTGGAAGAATCCATTTCGTGGTCTGGCGGACACACGCAACCCATTTTGTGGTCTTGGACCACGCATCGGGTGCCAGGGACTTGGCACGGGTTTGTGGGCTGCTGACACGGGTTCTGACAATATCTGTCCAAGCAGATCTGATCCAGCTCACAGACTTCGCTTGATGAGCAATTTTCAGCAAGGTGGCAGACTTGCAGAGGGTTGCCCACAAAGCCCTCGGGACAGAAGCAGTGGGATGAATGCTGAATCACCCGGCAAATCGCGTCACGTCCACATGGGGCCAGCAGGCAAGGGTCAACACACGACCCGCCCGAGCAAGCCTCACTGGCCCCACAGTCTACGTCCTTCAAGCACAAGGCTACGAACAGTCCAATTCTAGTCAGTCACTTGTCAACTACCAATCACAATCCTCGAGGCAACTGTCAGTTTTTTTTTTTTTTTTTTTTTTTTTTTTTTGCTGCTGTCCCATCAAAGTACAGACTGCAATTCCCTTGTTTTTTTTTTTTTTTTTTTTTTGCTTTTTTTGCTGCTGTCCCATCAAAGGTTTGGACAGTCAGTTGCCAAGAGTTTCGCGGGAAAAAACACACCATCCGCCCAAGCATGCAGTCAACAACAACCATCCCACAGTCTGCAAATGTTTGTGCCTTCATATCTTAGGAAAATGCCTGTTTCGGTGTATAGGATGTCAACCGTAAAATATATGTATCGGCCGTATATCGTAATAGATCTGCTTATCTTCCGAGTATTCGCAGTGTACCTTGGTTTCTGCCAAGTGGATGTGGTGTGGATTATAACTTCCCGAAAATCTGAGCTGCCCATTATTAACCGCAGGCGGCTTATCGGAGACCTTATGTACAGCCTTTTATAGGGCTTGCAAAAAAGTTAACTACCTGGGACACATTCCTGCGCAGGGTTACCAGTGAACCCTTTGGCACAGTGGCACATGGGCCTCCTCAATACGGTAACACAATCAGCAGACCTTCCACAAGGCTGCTTTGCACAAGGATCAATGCAAAGGTGCCCATCACAGGCCAGTGCATGAGGGCACTGAGAATCAGTTTCACAAGGGCCGTAGGGCAGGAATGTAGTTGGTAACTCAGTGGTGCCCTTTGCGTCCCCCTTATTTGTCCCTCCTGACTTTTCCCCTGAAGCGTCATTCACGCTTGGAGTAGTGACTATAAAAATGATAACGGAAATCAGATAAAGAAGTAAGCGACTGGGTTCTCCTATCATGGCTTCTCTCCCCAGGTGTTGTGCATCTTAAGACACCCACATGACGGTGACGGAGAACTCAAGCTCAAGCAAGTGGAATTAGAAGCCACGGTGGTCAGAGAACCAATAAGAATCAAAAGGTACCAACGCTAAGGACAGAGATATCAAGAAACTTGGTCATTCCTACAACTGCCAGCCAATCACCAGCACTTACCTCCTTGGTGAGACTGAGTGGTGGATCGGGATTAGGCTGAGTTAAGGCGCTAATTTTAAGTTAGGGACCTTGAATCAAGAATCTCTCTAACAAGCTGTTATTGCCCGCATTGTCCATCATTGCTCACAAAAGTCATCACGCAAACATCGGAAACAGTCTGGTTTCAAAGAAGACTCACCGGGGACACATTCGCCGGCCACACAGGTCTCACCAAAAGGACACAACTGATCATCACATTCTCTGACAGATGGTTCAGTTTCTGCGAGAATTCAAACGAGGTGAATAAGAAACAACCGCGCGTGAAACGCACAAGAACCACTCACCAACTACAGGTGTACAATGACATCCATCACACGTAGCCCTTGATCCACAATCCGCGTCCTTCTGACAGGCACAAACTGAAGAGAAACAATTTACATTAAAATCTCGTTACAACAAACTATCCCGGACACGAAAAAAATTCGTTATGATGAGATTTCTGGATTCTTGATAATATGGGATTGACATTTTGCGGGAAACAAGTAATAATTGCTTTAGTATTTAAAGTATTTCCATAACCATTTGTGAAGAATTATCAAACTTCTTTTAATGAAACAATAGAGAAAAGTCAAACTGTGAAATACTATTGCCTTATTTTAGACCTCTCTTTCTTAAATTTTCTAAAATTATTCTGATCTTAAAAAAGCATACGCTGAAACAAGAAGAAAATGCATGTGCACGAAGGGCATTTGTTCATTAAGAACTGGATGTTTCTTGAAATAGAGCAGTATCCTTCCAAACACACTTTTCTTTCATAAAATTAGTCATTTCTACATTCTGAAATAAAGCTAAATAAATGTTGATTGGAGAAGAATGCTTCACATTCTTCTCGCAATGCTACTTTTTCTGTATAAAAAGATCAGCATTTTTATTCAAGGTTTTTAAATCACGCACAATTTGGATTTCCCCATATTGTGTCAATTAGCGGAAAATTCTATGCCCCACGCACAATAAACGCGAAAATTGGTTAAACAGAGGGCATAGAGAAAAAGTACAGTAGATTGTTATACAGTAACAAAATTTTTATAACATTGTCCCTATGAAGAAACTGCCGGGCCAATAAAAAATTCGTAGTAAATCGATTCGTTGTAAGGGAATTTTACTGTATACCGTATGTCACTTTTCCAGCAGCTACATCATTCATAGGACTCACCAGAAACACAAACAGCCTCATGTCCTTTGACCTCACAGATCTGTCCATTCACGCAAGGGTTGTTCAGGGAACAAGGGCTCTCACATTGTCCATCGATGCATGCCAGAGCAGGAGAGCAGTCGGCGTTGGTTCTGCATCCCACCACTTTTCAAGCAGAAACCACAGAATTAGCAATGATCAAATATTCTAAAAATATTTCTGCATCTTTTTCAATTGTCTTTTATTTAGAAAATCCCAGAAAAATCATTGCTTAAAATCATCGCTTTTTTTTCAATCCTACTTCAGGCAAACAGTCCTCATTCCCAGACTAAGTATCCAGGCAGTCTGCAAAACAAGAACCTACAAACAACATCGGAATGTACACGTCTACAACCCTGAAAAAGAAGGTATCAAAAGTATCTGCGCGTGTGTGTATAGGCATCAGTTCAATGTCATACCAACACCAAGGGGTGCAACTGAGGGACTACAGAGCCAGCCACCAATAAAGAGCCACAACCAAGGGAGACAGAAGGATGGTGGCAGTTACCTGATTGACACTTGGTCTCAGGGTTACCAACTTCATTAGGGGGACAGACACAGGTGGGCCTGTGGGTGTCTACATAGCAAAACGCATTCGATGCGCAATGATTGGCTTCTAGACATGGATTGACACATTTGCCACTCATGCAAGCCTCTGTTGTTGGGCAGTCTTCATTAGCCCCACAATCCAGCGCAGTCTTTGGAGATGGTGTGAAGTTTGTCGCAGTGGTTATGGGTGCATCAGTGGTTATGGGAGCAACGGTGCTTCTTGGTTTAGATGGGATAAACACAGGTCTCTTGGTTCCAATAGGCTTGGGAGTAGTTTTTCCATTCACGTCGAGTCTGGGTATTTCTCCAACAACTGGTCTCTCAGAAACCACTTGAGTTCGGGTGGTAGTCCTGTCTCCAGGCTTCAACTCGGGACGTGGAGTCCTACTTGGAAACGTAGGCCTACTCGCAGGTGTTGTAAGAGTTGGACCTTCTTCTTCAAAAACTGAAGGTACACTTGGCCTGGGTCTCTGCGTGGAACCGCTCACAGGTTTTGGGTGAGTTGGACTTTCTACTTCAATAACTGAAGGAGAACTTGGCTTTGGTCTCTGCGTGGAACCGGTCACAGGTTTTGGGCGAGTTGGACTTTCTACTTCAATAACTGAAGGAGAACTTGGCTTTGGTCTCTGCGTGGAACCGGTCACAGGTTTTGGGCGAGTTGGACTTTCTACTTCAATAATTGAAGGAGAACTTGGCCTTGGTCTCTGTGTGGAATCAGTAGCAGGTGTTGTACCAGTTGACCCAACAACTTCAAAAACTGAAGGCAAACTTGGCCTTGGTCTCCGCGTGGAGCCGGTCGCAGGTGTAGCACGAGTTGGCCCATCTCCCTCAAAAACGGAAGGTTCACTTGGTCTTAGACTCGGTGTGGAAACGGTTGTCCTAAATCTAACGATTCCTGGTGAACCAGTCTCAATTTTAACAGTGGAACCAATTGGCTGCTTGGTTCTTGGTGCCTCCATGGTTGTTGGAACTACGCTGACGTCTGGAGTAGGGACTGAGCTTATTATCACATTCGGATTGACAGTGGATCCGGTAATTCCAACCACCGCACCAGGCCTTGGACTACTTGGTCCCGGTATCACAATGGTCCCTGTAGTTCGTTCGGGGGTTCCAGTGTTCAATCCGTCATCTCCAGTGTGAAACACAGGTTCTCCTCCAGGTGTACTCGACTCGGAACAATCTCCATTGAGACAAATACAGTTTGGCGAATGATCCACAGCTTGGCAGGAGTATGGGCCCTTGCAGGAGTCCGCCCGACACGCTGGGACACACTTCTTGCTACTACACAGCATATCAGGCAAACAGTCTTGGTCTTGTGAGCAGACGCTTTCCACGGGCTCTTCGCCTGTTCCACGAGGGTTGGAATTGTTATCCAAGAAGTTGGGAAAGATTTTTTTTCGTATCCACAACTACCTGATGCCAACGAGGTTTTTTTCTTCCTTCCTCAAGAGCCTTCAGCTCTCAATTAAACTGAACTACAGTTGAAGTTAATGGCTGAACTTTGACGTTAAAGTTCACCCGACCTGATTCTATACTGACTGAAAATAATCACAGCTTTCAGTCATTTACCTAGTCAGTTAAAAGCTACAATTTCTTTCTTGGGCAGAGTAAATTAAGCTAAAAATTGCGGAAATTAAAGTGTTTCCAGAAAATATTATCTACTGAGCCCTTGTAATATACTGCACACCGTAACCAAAAATTAACTCATGATCAACATCAATAAATTTATTTTTGATTGCTCAGATATGAAAACACGAATTTCAATTCTGCATTTGATTTTTAGCACTTATAGCCGGTCAGCTTTTCTTGCATCGACACAAATGCCACAGAAATAAGCTCTAACGTTATTTTTGGTACAAGAATTCACGAAATACCTACAGTATTTTTCAACAATAAACTATGCCTACAGTTTAGCAGTCTTAAAAGTCGAGTCCGAAATCAGAGCAATCATCAAAACTTCGGTATTCTTTACGATAAAAAACATGTCCACTTTCAAAGCTATTTCATCGCTAGAATTTTCGAGGGCAATATGTGAACAATTTAAAGTTGCTTGAATAAACACGAGTAGGTTAAAAAATGAGTAAATAAAATGAGTGCATCAGGATCTTCCGGAGCAGATCGCTCTTTCTGTCCTATGAAAGTGTTGATTATTCTGTTAACATACTCTCGGGCGGTTGGCAGAATGGATTATGTATTAGGCAGCCATCAGGGTTATTAGGGGATTAGTGGGCGTCCGGTGTGGTGTAGCGTGTAGGAGTGGCGGATGGGCGTGGATTACCTTTGACGCAGCCCTGACGGGCGTCGACGACGAATCCAGGCGGACAGAACTTGCAGACCGGCCTGTGGTCTTCCACGACGCACGGCGCCTCGCTGGGACACGCGGCGTCCACACACGGGTCCTGGCACTGGTACCCGCGACAGGCCCGGTCCGGAGGACACCCGTCGTCGCGCAGGCAAATGAAGGCCTCGGCGGAACAATCCCGCGTGCACACGCAGACGGCGCGATGGTCGACGACGTCGCAAATGCGGCCAGCGGGACACGGGCTATTGACGCGACACGGGTCTTCGCAACGACCGCGAACACACGCGAGTTGCGCCGGGCATTCCGCGTCGCTGCGACACTCGCCGGCGTCCGGGGCGCACTCGAAGTCCCCGGCCGCACTCAGGACGAACCCGTGACGACACACGCACACAGGCTCGGTTCCGCGCACCTCGCAAATCCGGTTGCCCGGACAGGAATGCGTGGCGCACGGCGGCGGTGGCGGGCGACACACGGGATCGGGGACGCACTCTTCGGTTGCTCTGCCGCGGAAGCAGTGCGGGCAGGAGCAGCGAGGCTTGTGCAGCACTGTGGAGCACAGGGCGTTGCGCCCGCAGGCCCCGCGCACCAGACACGGGTCGGAGCAATGGCCGTCCGTGCAGGTCTCGTCCACCGGACAGTCCTTGTCCGTCCTGCATTTCCCAACTACCCGAGAAACACAGACATGCACGCTCAAAAAGATCCCATGCGAAGGATGCTAAATTTCATTGAACGAAAGTTCTGGAAGAGACACTGTAACAACTGGTAAAAAAAGGAAACCTCCTCCGGGGATCTCACCAGGTCCATCGCATTTCACCAGCGGATTTCCAGTCGTTCCTTCTTGGCACTTACACACATAATCTGTCCCTTGACCGAGGACACAGTCTGCTTTCTCTCCGCACCCTGTTGTTCTGCAGTCTGCATCCAGCCTCTCTGGCTGACCTACAAGAACACGTGACAATCATCAGAAACACCCGTAAAATCCCAGCAATCTGCCCAAGCGTCAGAAACGTTTTCCTGGGAAATCTGCGGAAAGGTTAGGAAAACATCTCGCCAACGCGAAATTAAAAACATAAACTTTCCGAACAGCTGAAAACTTTTCCAAGGATGGAGATACATTTTCAACGCACAAAAAATGGGAAAAACAAATGGGATTAACATCAGCTATTTTCCTTCTTCCGAGGTTACGTGCACATAATCTTCAGCTTTAAGTAGGAGGGCCTATACTTCTCACCTCCGATAAAATAATACAATTCGGTGGATAAATGAAACTATACTCACAGGAAATGTAAGGGTCTCCAGTAGGGAAAGATAGCGGACAGAAGCAGACACCTCTGTCGCCTTCCACCCTGCAAGAAGCTCTAGTTCCACAGTTGACGTTCAGGCAGGGGTCTGTGTAGGACTCCCTGCAGATGCAGCCCTTGTACGGATCTCCGGCACATCCTTCTTCGCATTCACAGTTAAAACCTACCGGGCGGTCCGTGCAAATGGTATTCGATCCACATGGATTCCCTAGACATTCGTTGATATCTGCAAAAATCAGGTTAGAACCATGACATTAATGAAGGCGTTTCACGAAATGGGTATTTTTAACCGACTCGAATAAATACAATTGAAAAAAGAGGGTTTGCGGAAGTGCATACCTTGACGGCATTCTACGGCTGGATTGCCAACGAATCCTGGAGGACACAAGCACAAGGCCTGCTTGTTCTCCACTCTGCACTGGGCATTAACACCGCAAGCATCACTTCTGAGACACGGATTCACGCAGGATCTGTCAGAACAAGCCTGTGAACCAGCACAATCGGAATCCACGGAGCACTCTGCTTTGCGACACGCCGCGAAAGCATCACCAACGTATCCACTGGGGCACAAGCACACTGATTTGTGATCTGAAGACAGGCACTCGGCATTCTCCCCACAGGGCTTGAAATCACACGGGTTTTGACACTTCCCTTCAACGCATGCCTTGTCATTGTTGCAGTCAGCATTGGATCTGCAGCCGGAGCTGCACAGTCCGTCAATACACAAGTGGCCCTGGAATTCCAAGACATAATAAGCATCAACATTCTGGTGATAGCAAACATTTAATCACTTTAATTCGTGAGCAGCATTCCAACAAAGAGAAAAATCGTGTCTTCATGCTCCCTAATACCCGTATTTCCCAACTCACAGCAGGACAGGCGTTGTCTCCAGAGCACTGGTGTTTGCAGTACCCGCCAGAGCAGATTTCTCCACATGAACAGCCACTTTTGTCGTCATTATTCGAGCAGGGATAAGCGCAAACGCCATCAGCACAGATTCCACCTCTGCCACAGCCCCTGTTGTCCTTACAGAGCTTGAACTGCCTCCTGCAGCCCACAGAGGGATTCCCAACGGTGTTCACTGGACACGAGCACTGAGGTGCGTGATTGACGACTTTGCACAACGCACATTCGCCGCAAGATGCAGCTCCTTCGCAAGGGTCTGGAGGAAAGGGAAATCAAATTTCAGAAAATGAGTCCCTTTCAAGTCTGAAAGTAATCGAAGCAACATACTTCTGCACTGTTTGTTGATGCAGGCTTGGTCAGCGGGACAGCTTGAATCAGACCTGCAGCCAATGATGCACAATCTTCCACTGCAAATCTCTCCGTCACTGCATTCCTCGTCAGAGTTGCAAATGGATTTGCACACGCCTCCAACACATCGCTCATTATCCAAGCAGTTGACATCACTGGAACAAAATAGGAACTATGTTTACGCACAGGTCCGGCAAAAAAAGGAGATCCAGGGACTAACTTCGAGCAAGTTGGTCTGCATATCCCCTGGAAACAGGTTTGTGCATTGGGGCATTCCTCATTCTCTGAGCAGGATTTCGGTGGCAGTCTGCAGCTGAAGCCTGGGTCACCAATCATTCCTGGGGGACATCTACACTGGACTTGGTGATTCACCACCTTGCACAGCGCATTCGTTCCACATGCAGTCAAAGAGTCACATGGATCTGCAAAGAAAGTCACATAAAGAACACGGAAGATATCCTCAAAGTGAAGAGCCAACTCACTCAGACACTTGTTGTTCACGCAAGCTTCAGCATCCGCACATTCAGCATCAGCGTTGCACCCAACTGCACAAATGAAGTCTTCACAAATTTCCCCGTTTCTGCAGTCGTTGTCTCTTCTGCAGATCGGCTTGCAGACCCCGCTGTCACATTTCTCACTCGGGAGGCAGTTTTCGCTTGATGAACAGATTGGTCGGCAAACGGATGCTTCACACACTGATCCCTGGGGACATTGGTTGTTGATGCTGCATCTCGTTGGTTCCCTAACACAGGCCACATTGGCAGACGGATTAGGAATGAAACCCGCAGGACAAGAACACTGAGCCCGGTGGTCTTCCACGGAACACAGCGCATTCGGTCCGCAGGCAGCTCCAGCATCACATGGGTTTCGACATCTATAAAGTTTCCATATAAGCACTTTTGAGTAATGATACGACATTGCATATTCATGAAGATGCAAGAAGGCAGATCGTAATTTGAATCAGCAAAAGCCTCGATACATTTTTAGACATTACAAGAACCTTTCGTTGCGATTTCGAGTCATACTCTTGAGAAACAAACCTGTTCTGCAGGCAGGCTTCACCAGATGAACAATCTTCATTCTCAAGGCAACCGATGAGACAGACCCGATTCAGGCAGACATGACCCAAGAAACAGTCATCATTGCCCCGGCAAGTCAGCACACAGTTCCCTCCAAAGCACTTTTCATTCCCTGCGCAATCTGTGTCCGCTCTGCATCTTGGCATGCACACCTGTTCCTGACACACAAAACTGGAAGGAGAGAAACTAAGTTGAGTCAAAGCACGGAGTCCCTCACAGTAGAAGAAAAAATACAAACCCTCTAGGGCAATTGGAGTCATCCTGGCAGGCCACAGGCATCCTAATGCATTCAAACACCGGGTTTCCAGTGAATCCATCAGCACATTCACATTGCTTCTCATGGTTTTCCATTTTGCATTTGCCGTTGATGCCACAAGCAGTGTCAGCGTCGCACAGATCTGTGCACTGGCCTCTCACACAGGCTTCCGTTGGTCCACACTCCTGATCAGCTTGACAAGCAGCTGTACGGATTGAAAACGATCGATAAAATCAGGATGAATACTCGCAAAAGAATCAATGCATCAAATGCAGGAATCACGTAAGGAATAAAGGCATGGAAAAGATTCAGAGAAGAATTCCTCACCCCTACAGAAGCCACCATCGCAAATGGTTCCGACCGGACAGTCCGTGTTGAGGCGACATGGAACTTCCTGAGGAATGCAACCCCTCAGGACATCACTGGGGTCACCAGCATATCCTTCGATGCATTCACAGACTCCTTGGTGGTTGATGGACTTGCACTTCGCATTCGGGCCACACGTCAACTCCTGGCAAACATCTGTGCATTTCGGCTCACTGCGGACTGTTGTGCATCTGGCTGTCATAGGACAGTCATTGTCCGCCTCACATTCTACTGGCTGCACGCAACCATCTGTATAAGCGTCTCCCACGGTTCCCTCGGGGCATCTGAAAGAAATTCAAATTTCGGCTCTGAAAGGTACGAATTTTCTTCCAGCAAACTCACTGGCAGACATAAGAGCCCCTCCTGTCGTTCTCACAAGAAGCACCTGGTCCACAAGGTTTGGATTTGCAGTAGTCAATCGGGGAGCAAGATCTGATGGGATCGCCGGAATATCCTTCCCTGCACCTGCACTTAGCAGTATGGTCTTCCGAAGAACACAATGCATTCTCTCCACAGGGATTGGAAACCCTGCAAGCAGCCTTGCACTGGAATTCGTGACACGTGTGGCTGGAGAGTCTGCAGTCGGCGTCTTTCTCACATTCTTTACGCACACAACCAACTTTCTCATCTTGCGGGTTGCCGAAAAATCCAGCTTTACACCTACAGAATCATTTCAAGAAGTATACAAATTATAGCCTGCTCTCTGAAGGGGAAAGCTGTCATTACGAGGGAGATCACTGACCTGCACGTAGGTTGATGTTCGTAAGGAACACACTCAGCATTGCGACCACACAGCACCAGTCCGTCGCAGACATTCTTGCATTCCGCTTGTCCATAGGTGTTCGGTCTGCACGATTCATCACCGGAGCATTCATCATCAATCCTACACCTGCTCTCCAGAACGCAGATCCCATTTTGGCAGGAATGGTACTCGGGACAATTCTTGTCCGATTGACATCTTGGCTGACATGCTCCATCCAGGCAAATCTGATCGGGTAGACATTCACGGTGGGATGCGCAACGCTCTGTAAAATTCAGAAAACATTTTAAATGACTATTCAATCCAGCTTTTCATGCATTTGTCAATTAGCTTTCCAAAACATTATTATTGGAAGTTCAACATTCTGGAATCCTCACCAGCGCAAAGCCCTTTGCTGCATATTTGTCCACCAGGACATTGCTCATCTCCATTGCAACTCAAAATCTTGGTGCACCCGAGCCTGAAGTCTCCCGTGAAACCTGCTTGACAGGCACAAGTTGCCGAGTGTTCAGCAGGGTCACAGATAGTGTTAGCACCGCAGACTCCCGGGATGCTGCATGGATTTGTGCACCTGCGAGAAGGAAAAACAAAAACAGACCAATTACCATATGCCACATTGTTAGATTGCAATAAGAAATTACTTGTTGTTTATGCAAGCTTCTCTTGGAGGACACGCAGAATCTTCAACACACTCAAGCTTGACGCATTCTATCCTCGGATCTCCGGTTGTATGGAACGGACAAGCGCAAACAGCCCTGCAAAAAAATTTTGCGTTCCAGTAACGAAGCAAGTTTTATCGGAATGCCCTTCTAAATAACTCACTGCTTGTTTAGTGCTGTGCATTCAGCACCACGGCCGCAAGCATTCTCAACACAAGGGCTCTGACATCTGCTGTTGACGCATATGGCTGAATCAGGACACTCCAAGTCTCCTCTGCATTCTCCAGGCCTAGAGCACCCTTGAAGGTACGGATCTCCAACCATTCCCTCGGGACAGACACATTGGTGGCTCCCGGGGACATTCCGGCACGTTGCAGATCGGTGACATGGGTTCTGTACGCATTCGTTCACATCTACACACTGTTCTCCTTGCGGGATGTAACCTTGCTGGCAAATGCACGTGGGCGCATGATTGACTGCTTTGCAGCTACCTCTGCCACAATCTACCAGACTACAGGCATCTGCAAGAAGGACACAAAACCTGAAAAACAGGTTCATATAACAAGCAGTTGCCCGGATGACTCACCAATGCACCTGTTGTTCAACCTGTCGCACAACTTATCAGCAGGACAGTCCTCGTTGTATACACACTCGACCTTGTAGCATCCGATGCTGACATCTGCTGGGCTTCCCAGAAACCCGTCTCTGCATTGACAAAAGGCTTGATGATTCTGCACAACACAGTCGGCATTCGGTCCGCATCCAGTTCTGGCGCAAGGGTCAATGCACTTCAGGACGCCCAGTTTGTCTGTCAAGCATGCTAGATTTGCAGGGCAGTTTCCATCAGAGGTGCACTCATGAGGAGGTAGACCTGGAGAAGGGAATACGAGAATATATGTAACAATATTGCGTGGCCGTTACTCAGGAAAACTCACATCCGGTTGTCACAGGATCGCCGACAGTTCCTTCGGGACACAGGCACTTGAAGGAACCAGCCAGATTGACGCAAGATGCTGAGGGATGGCAGGGTGTGTTCAGGCATTCATCGATATCCTCACACAACCCATTCGTGTAGATAAACCCAGGTGAGCACCTGCATTGGTTCCCAATGCACACTTCGTTCGACCGGCAGTCACTGGCCACTCGGCAACCTGACTGGCACATTCCTTCCACACACACGGATCCTTGAAGACAGTTGTTGTCGTTGTAGCAGACCTTCATGCACATGCCATTTTCACAGCGTTCTCCAGTCACGCAATCCGCTGTTGGAAGAAACATAAAAATGTTCAGGTCAGTACACCTGGTCTACCTTAAAGAGTTCATTTGACTCGTAAATCAAAATAGTGTAGAACGGCATGAATGCTCACCAGAACTTGCGCAGGATGGTCTACACTGGTTAGCCTGACAGATGTGATCATCAGGACATTCCTGCGCAGACTTGCAACTCACGAGAGTCCTAACACAGCCTTGCTGAGGACTTGGGTTACCCTGGAAACCCTCAGGACAAGAGCACCGAGCGGCATGGCCCACGACCAGGCATTCTGCATTGGCTCCACAGGATCCAGGGCGATCACAGGGATCTGCGAGCACGAACACGTCAATGACGAGTCATCATCATCAGGGCTTAGACGAAAATGACTTACTTTGGCACTTGGAGCTGATGCACGCCTCATTATTGCTGCATTCTCCGTGATTCCTACATCCCAGGGTGCAGAACCTTCCAAGACACGCTTGTCCTGGTGGACATTGGGCATGTCCCAAGCAGGGCGTCATGCACATGTTGGAAACGCAACTTTCACCCACCGCACAGTCGTTGTTTGTCTGGCACACAACTGCGAGAAAACGCCAGGTTAAATCTCGCAAAACGTTGTTAGCATTCAACTTCACTTACTCTTGCATTGTGAATGGATGCAGACATCTCCGCCGCAACCGGAGTCGTCCAAGCACTCAGCACTAACTCTTCTGCATTCCTGTCTCCCAGAGTTGGTTTCAATGGTCACAAACCCGGTCAGGCAAGTGCATAGGGGTTGATGGTCAGACACTGAGCACTGGGAATTCGGTCCACATATGTCCCCTTGGCAAGGGTTCTTGCAAGCGCCATTGGTGCAAACAGCATCTGAGGAGCAATCTTCATGCTTGGTGCAGTACCCGCCAGATTTCCGACCTGAACACATAAGCCAGAATCAACCTTGAAAATTCCTACACTGAATGACAAACAAATGAGGTACTCACATCCATCCACATATGGGTTTCCGGCAAAGCCCAGCGGACAGTCACACTGATAACCGGCTGGTGTGCCTGAGCATCTCGCTGTGGAGTGGCAAGGGTTTGAGTCGCACGGGTTTGCTGGTACACACCCAGTTTCAGGTGTGGAATCCTGGAAAGACAAATCAGGAAATTTTCAAAAACTGTTCGCTGCGTTTCAAGTGTAGGTCAATCTGTTTCCGATCGATTTCTTTCTTCTTTTTTTCTTCACATAATAACTTGGTCATCAGAGAAAAAAACAACTCACCGGTTTGAACCCTGGCCGACAAGAGCATTGCGCACGATGTCCTTCGGCAATGCAAATCGCATTTGGTCCACAAGCATCAGAACACACGTCAACGCAGGAATAATCCACTTGGTTACACGCATGTGTTTTTGGACAGTCTTGGTTCACGAGGCAGGACACTAGCCTGCAGCCGGATTGTAAGTCATTGGCATCCCCTGCATATTTCCCCGGAGGACACTGGCACTGGCCTTCGTGATTATTGGCCACGCACACTGCTCCTGGGCCACACTGAACATAATCACAGGTCGGAACACACCTGGAAAGAAAACAGACAAGTTAGACACAGGAAACCATAAGAGTTGAATCAAGTTGATTTTCCAGGTGATGCGAGAGTTTACAGAACGACGGATTTTCAGCAAAAATAAACACACCTCTTGATGCCTCCGGCTTCCTTGCAAACGGCGGTTTCCAGGCATTGGGAATCTGAGAAGCATTGGTCTTTCGGTTTGGACATGCAGCCTTCCCTGCTGTTGGGGTTGCCAACGTAGCCAGGCAAGCATCTGCAAATGCCTCTGTGAGCACTGGGTACGCAAGAAGCATGAGCAGGGCACGTCACTCCGTCGCAAACCGGTACACATTTCATGACACCGAGTGCATCTGCGCGGCACGCGCTGTTGGTTGCACAGTCTGTGTCGACAGAGCAGTCAGGGATACTTGGTTCTGTGGACAGAGCATTCCCGTTTTAGCAACTACTCCGAACAACGTTTACAAATTTTTTCGAAGTATTTACCGCATTTAATTTAGTACCACGCGCACCTTTTTTTTCCAAAAATTGAGGGAGAAAAATAGGGTATGCGCAACTCGGGATACATTTTCCAAGCAATGCCTAAAACCAGGGTCCCTCACACATGTAAATAAATCTAACCAACAAACAAATTAGGAGGAAATCTGTGGCGCCAATTAAGTCTCGCTGTCCATGGAAAATAATGGTTCAGGCAATAATAATTTTAGGAATATATCAGTTGGCGATGCAACGCAAGAATTAAAGGAAGGGGAAACATTTATCTACCTAAGGAAGCTGTCTTATACTGCAAGCAAATGTTAACTGCTCTTCCAGACAATGAAAAACAGGAAAGACAAAATATTAATCGGGAAAAATGAATCAACCACAAAAATTGATTTCACAATTCCTAATTTTCAGAAATAAACGAAACTGGGATGCGGGTCTTTAACGGGGATATGTTTTTGGGCGAGTTTTTCGCAAACAAATTGGGGATCGTGTCTTACTCGATTAAATACGGTTTTATAAATACAGTATTTTAAATTTCCAGGAGCTCAAATTATAGTTTCTGGCAGATCAAGACATGTTTTCAACGATGACTCACTGTCACACGTGCCGGACAGAGGGTTCTTGATGTAATCGTCGAAGCATTCACAAATCGGGTACCCATTCTTCAGAACACAGGCTTCATTCTGCCCGCAGAAGATGTTCCTGCAGGGGTTGACACACTGAGGGATCCCATTCGGGCCGGACTGGCACACCAGTTCCCCGGGGCAGTCCTCATCAATGGAGCATTCTGTCCTCTGCAAAGGCTGTTCAGAAGGTTTCACAATCAGACTACGGTCCTTTTTCTTGAATTCACGAAGCTGGAAACTTACTGAACAGCCGCCTCTCAGGTCGTTAGGATTCCCAAGAAAGCCCTGTAAGCAGATACATGTGGATCTGTGGTTCTCAGCCACACAAGCAGCATTTGGTCCGCATTGGAATTTTCTGCAGGCATCTACACATTTTCGTTGTCCCTTGCTGGTCTCGGAAAAGCAAATCTGATCAGAATGGCAATCCAGGTCATTGTCGCACTCATGCCCACGACAACCCAAGATCAGATCAGTAGGGTTCCCGGAAAATCCATTTATGCAAGCGCATAGTCCCTCTGAACAAACTGCATTTGGTCCACAGGAAACCCCATCGCACTGGCTGATGCAATTTCCGTTCTGGCAAGAGAATCTATAAGAAAAAAAAAGCATTTGTTTTACCCCTCAGATTAGCAGTCAAAAATATGTTATATGCTTACCCCGCAGGACAGATGTTAACGTTGTCACACCTGCAACTGACTGGATTTTCAACGCAGGACTCATCTAGCAAGCTTTCCACTGCCATGCACATCATGAAGGGGTTTCCAGTGTGGCCTTCTTTGCATTGGCAATCGTAACTTCCAATCGTATTGATGCAAATGGCGTTCATTCCACAAGCATTGCCCATGCATTCGTTCACGTCTTGAAAGAAAACAAAAACATTTACATATGTACTGTATACAGTTGAACCTCGATAACTCAAACCTCCGAAAGTCGATTTTTTTTATTTTCAAGTCTCCCTCTGAATCCCCTTAGAAACGCTACATTAAAAACCTCCGTAACTTGAAGGCTTTTCCTCTCAAACCTCCGTAACTCAACATTTTCTGAGGCCTTTTGGCTATTATTTTCTTGACACTGGAAAAAGAAAAGATATAAAACAGCAATGATGTGTTTTCAAAGGAAATGAAGGACCAACTGGGCAAATGAACCCCTGCCTCCAAGCTCAGCATTCTGTCAACTCATTTCAGAAGCAATTTAGACCCATAATATCACCTGCTATTAAAATGTTCTGCAATTATTCCATGTTTCCCACAACAAGAATACTTCACTCGTTTCCTTATCCGGAAACCTCCCTAACTCGGAACCGCCCTAATTCGAATTTTTTGCTGGTCCCAAAATAAGTCAATTCGACTTGAAGAGGTTCGACTGTATTTACTCATGAATTGTACAACAGCGAAGCGGGGTGCGACAATTTAAAAATTAAATATAAAAGATTATCAATGTATTCTATGATACAGTATTTCGAAGGTACTCTGAAGAGAGCTTGTATACTGCATATATAAATGAGGGAAGAAAGCATCAAGTACCTTCGCATCCAACATACGGATTGCCACGGAAGCCAATAGGACAGACACAGTCAACCCTGCCGAGCCCACTCTTGCAGTTGGCATTGGTACCACAGACGGTGGCATCACATGTCCTTTCCTGGGCTCCACAAATCTCATAAGGATTGCCAGACTGCCCGGCATCACAAACGCACTTGTTTGGAAAGCCGTACTCGCAATGTGCGTTTTGTCCACACGGCGGTGAACAAATCGGCGGCAGGACGGCTGAACAAAGAAAATCGAATAAATACGCATTAATGACGCATTAATTTTTTGTCAGAAACAGCAGTTGACTCACGTGGTACACAGAGCAAGTCAGGGTTTCCAATGAAAAAGGGCAAGCAGACGCATTTGTTGGAATTCTTGTCACACTTGGCTCCCACCCCGCACGTGATCCCTTCACATCTTTCCTTACATCTGCCTTGGACACAGACTTGTGGGCTTTCACACGGGTTCGAGCTGGAGCAAACGTCTGGGTGACACACTCCGCCAGGGAAGGGGTTGCCATTGAACCCATCCAAGCACTTGCAGGTGAGTCCTTCTGCTGCCACCAGGCATTGTGCATTTTCCCCGCACTGGTGACCAGCACAGACGGACACACATCTGCACAAGATATGAAACAAACGTGTTTAGCCGTAGTCGGAATTAAAGACTGTAGAAGAAATTCACAACAACATCCCAAGAATTCCACACGCGCGGGAAAAAGGCACTATCAGAGATTAAACCTCTACATCACATTCATTATTGAAGCTTTATTACAATAGCACTCGATCTACTCCAGCCTCAGCGCGAATAATCTCATCATTTGATTTCAGGAAAATAAAATTTTAACGTAGTTATCATATTGCACACATCAATGGGGTCTATAAGGGTTTTGCCAGAAGCGTAAAATTTAGGACGTGAATTTGCAACGCGAATTATCTCCTCCTTTGATTCCAGGAAACTAAAATTTCAACGTAGATCCAAGGGGTTTGCCAAAAGAGTAAAATTTCGGACTCACCCATTGCCGCTTTCTTGGAAACCAGGCATGCACCTGCACCAAGCAGCACTGTTCTCCACGGTACAGACGGCATTCAGTCCACAAGGTAATGCGGCACACGGGTTGATACAAGTGCCATCTTTGCAAGCCAGATCAGGTCCACAAGACGAGTCATCATCGCATTCAGCCTCCTTAACTTCGGGTCTGAGACTATCGCATCTTTTGAAAGCATCTCCCGCAGTTCCAGGAGGGCATTCACACTTGAAGCCGCCGATCTCATTGATGCACACAGCTCCGGCTCCACAAGGGTTCCTGGCACATTCGTTAACATCTGCACAGCCTCGAAGTGGGTCTCCAGCAAATCCCTTCTTGCACATGCATCTCGGAGGATCCGACGGGGTGCACAGGCTGTTGAGCCCACAGGGGAATCTCTCGCAGGGGCTCTTGCACTTGTTGTTATCCGTGGTATCCACAAAGAATGGAGGAGGGCAAACGCATTCTCCGGGCTGGACGCATTTCTCGTTGGACCTACAATCGCCATCTTTGACGCAATCCAGTTTGGCAGCCAGGGAACACACGCCATTGTACGGGTCTCCACGGTAGCCCTCGGGGCAGATACACTCGAATCGTCCCGGCAGGTTTATGCACTGGGCACCGAAGGCGCATACCCTTTGATTATTGGACAACTGGCACTCGTCTATATCATCACAACTGCCGTCTTTCATGGTGTGGAATCCTTGTGGGCATGCGCAGTAGGTCTGTCCATTCCTTAGTTTCACGCAATCTGCTCCTGGTGGACAAGGGTTGTATATCGAGCAGTTTGCCAGCACACAGGCTCCATCAATGAATTTGCTGGGTGGCAGACAAGCACACTCGGCTGAGTCACATTCCGTGCAGGCTGAGAATGGGTTGCCCGCAAAGCCAGGTGGACATTCACAGGAGTAGGATCTGTTGAGGAAGCGCAAAAAAATGGTCTAGACTTGCCAAGGACTGAAGGATTCAGCCAAGAAAAAAATAGCTGACGGAAGCCTGACCATAAAAACAGTCCCCACTATACAGTATAGAAGAATTATAATTACCCGATGTGGTTCCGGCAAAGCGCGTTAAAGCCACAGGCCCTGGAGCCAAGGCATTCGTCCATGTCAGCACAAACCCCTGAAGCCGGATCCCTCACGAAACCTCTCTTGCAAACGCAGACCCTGTTCCCAGTGGCCTCTTCTTTCACACATTCTGCGCCAGGGGGACACGGGTTACTCGCTGAGCACCCTGGGGCAGAAAGCTGTTTGCATTCCCCGGAGTAAGGATTTCCCGCTGTATTAGATGGGCATTCGCAGGTAAACCTTCCTGGTTCGTTTCTGCAGAGGGCTCCTCGTCCGCAAGGGTTCCCCAGGCATTCGTTTATGTCCACGCAACCAGCCATGTTAGGTCGGCCAGTGAAGCCTGTTGCGCACATGCACTTCGGTCGGCCATTAATGAGCATGCATTCGGCATTTGGACCGCAGAAAATATCTTCACAGGGATCTACAAAATAAAGCAGTCATAAAATTATAATACAGAACCTCCGTTCAGCTGAGCCAGTGCTGCCCGCGGGGACTCATCATCCATCCCGCGGTCCCTTCCCTATAATTTTCAACGTAGCAGCCCTAATTATTCAAAATATATTCATATTAAAAGACGAAGTTAAAAATTCAAAATATCGCTCCACCCTTCAAAACGTCCATAAAGCTACGCTTGTGATTCAAAGCAAAGCAATAAAAAAATGAAAACTTTTCATTAAAAATTGGGAAAATTTGGAACCTCAAAAATGATTGTCTATTAAGTGGCCTGCAAGGACTCTCCGCCTCTGCAATGTGGCCCTTGATCACAACAAATACTCTATATTAATGTGGCCCTTCACCACATCTGAGGCGGGCAGCATTGAGCTAAGCTGATCCAACACGAAATCTCGAAGTTTTTAGCACTCCAAAAAATGGGGGATAACAATATAATCTTGAAGTATATATACTGCAGTTATATACTCACGTCTGCAATCTTGTCCAATGTTAGGCTCTGGACACAGACACTGCTTGTTAGGATCACAAATAGCATTTCCAGGGCAGTCGTTGTCACTAGAACACTTGACGTAGTCGATACAGGCAGTGAATGGATCGGGTTCTGGAATTGTTCCAGCCGGGCAGGAGCATTTGTAAGATCCAGGGAGATTCTCGCACACGGCTCCATTACCACACACCAGAGGGCGCAAGCATTCGTTAACATCTGCACAGAGAGAGCATTCCCTGCAGTAGGTGACTCAACACAAATGAGATGACGCATATGTGAACTCACCAACACAACGTCCGAAGGGATTTCCCGAGTAACCAGGAGGGCATTGACAGGCGAAACTTCCAAGCGTGTTTGTGCAAACGGCGTTTTCTCCACACATCCCCGAGGGACCGATTCTCGGATTGCACTCATCAACATCTGTGGAATCCAGTAATACGACTTCAGCATCGATAAATCCCGGACAAAATCCGGCGTAGAGAACACATACCAACACAACCAGCGTCAATCCTGGCGGGATCATACGACCAGCCAGTTTCGCAAATGCAATGGGCTTCTTTTCCTTGCGGTTTGCACGTTGCATGCGGCCCGCAATTGACACCGTCGCAGGGTGCTGTAAAAAAAAGAGAAGGAATATTTCCGCTCAGGACAAAGAACAGTGTGGGATAACTGCTCAACTGGAGAGTGGGAAGATCACAGGGGGCAATGACCACCAAGGCAGCCACATAGAAAAAAAAGTACATGCTTCTCTAATTGGTACAGTTACGCTCCCTCATCAGCGCTCAGCATTTCCCTCCGGCGTTCCCAGGAGTTCGTCACGCAGATCCAACATTTTATTCAAGAATCTCGCGTATTTTCACGAAGATATCCTGGGAATCTATTTACTGTACCTTTGCACGGCGCAGACGGAGGGCTTCCAACAAATCCATTTTCGCATTGGCACGTGTAACTTCCGGGTAAGTTGTTGCATACGGCGTGGGGACCACAGGGATTCTGGAGGCACTCGTTGATGTCCGCACAAGTAGCCCCAACTGCGGTGAACCCTGGTCTGCAGACGCATTCTTCATTGATGCACTCGGCGTTGTTCACACAGTCGAAGTTGCTGCCACACAGTGTTCTCACTGACATCTGATGATCAAACAATAGGGATTCAACTTCCGTGTGCTTCGGGGGTTACTACGTCAGGTGGAATCTCTCTCTCTAAAACGATTTTCTCCGTTAAACGATTTTTTCGGTGTCATAAACAAGTGGTCTAAAACCCGTGGTCCGCGGACTGGCGCCGATCCGCAGAAGTTTTATTGGTGGTCATTGGGAAATTTTCTTCAGCATAATACAATTTACTAAGGTAATAATGGAGTCTGTAATCTTTATCTGACAGATTGGAAAGACAATGACGGTTGAAATTATCTGATGAAAAATAAAAGTTGGCTTTTCTCCCAATGACTCTTCAGCCAAATTTTCACCAGCTGAAATACATTATTTCAAGCACTGTATTGCATTCATTCTTCTCAGAAACCTTTCTTAAAGCCCAGCTTCCTAACTTTTTAAAGACTTTTCACTACAGCTGCTTCAATGGTACTTAAATTTATTTTTGCAATAAAAATTTTTGGAGGACTATATGGCAGGTATTTATAAAATTACTGCTGTTCTGCAAAAATTGTACAAAAATTTGGCAGTCCGAAAAAAATATTTAGGAAATTTGCTGGTCCGTGGGAACACTGCCATGGAGTCGTCTCTGCCCAACAGAGATCCTCAACAATGCATTTTTTTGCATCTGGTCCCCTAAATTTCGTTCAAGAGGGAGTCAACCAGTATAAAATTGTTTACAAACCTGTTCACAGCCAATGTCAGCTCTCGGTTTGGCATCGTAACCCATAGGACAGCTGCAGGTGTACCCAGGGACAGCATTCTGGCAGATGGCATTCCTTCCGCAAGGTTGCGACAAAACCACGCACTCGTTGATATCTACAGAATGCACACACGGACCAGCATTAACATCCATTCACACAATATCCTTTCTGGTGCTGTAATAGAATGCATCACAACCGTGGTTAGTTCATGTTGATGATATTTGGCACATGCAGTGTTTGAAGCAGGTTTTAATAAACATGACCAATTTTCAAAAATGATGTGCACAAGGTTTTTAGACAAAAAAAGGTGCACCAGAACACCATGCAGCATATGACACAGATCATATATGTATGAGAAGGGAAATAAAGCAGTTGGACCTTGCTAACTCAAACCTCCCCAAGTTGAGAAACTCCAAATCTCAAATATGTTTGGTCCTATTTCCTCAAGAACAGCGGAATCCAGATATATCTTTGTGTATTGCAAAGGCTTCCCCCTAAAACTTCTACAACTGAAATTTCTTGAGGCCTTTGGGCTACTACAGGTAAGACTCTCTCTACAATGATGAACTTTTTGGATACCATAGGGGTTCCCAACAAAAAATTATATCTACAATAAATCAATTTTTTTCTGGCCACAAGAATTATGTTGTAAAGAAAGTGCCATGTATTCTGGTTACCAAGAAAATAGAAGAGCAATGAAAATGTGTCTAGATGTTTTTCAAAATAAAGTGAATAACTCAATTAGGAAGATTTAACCGTGCCTTAAAGATCAGCATACTGTCATTACAGTTATCTAGCAGTTTCAGGCCCAAAATATAGCCAAGTTTGCCTTCCTCTAATTGTCACTTGATTTTGTTTCAACAAAAGTGCTAGTTTTCCTAACTCAAAAACTATCTCAATAAAAAATGTGTTGCCCCCCTCAGTTTGACTTAGAGAGGTCCAACTGCACCAGATGGACATAGCTATGACTTCTCCAATCTTCGCACACCCTCCTCATCATGCCAATTTTTTCCCATAATCTGATTTCCTGCTCAACAGAACATTATGCAGCAAAAAAGCACCCGTGATGGATGGATCATTCTTGTCACATGGACAACAATGAACAGTTCAAAAAGTACCAGAGTTCACCAACTTCTGAAAGAAGCAGCATTAGACGAACTTCCAGCCATAAAGTGTGCTATATACTGCATTAATGAAGAGCCCAATAATAGAGGAGTGCGACTGAATCTACCATTATTGGCCAAGGGGACAATAAGGATTGGATTAAGTAAGTACATGTCCTGCATATGGTTTCCAGTCATATACTGTGCATATGTGTGATACACCATAGTCTATAGTCAACTGCATGGTGCAATGGCATCAAAGCATTAGACCGGGTTACCAACCATGACATGTTTTGTTTTCACCACGCTCGAATCCTTCCTTGCAGGTGCAAACGTAGCTACCAACTGTGTCCTCGCAGGTAGTGTGTTCTCCACACGGAGTCCCAATGACGCACTCATCCACATCTGGTTAACCAGGGTAAAAGCTCAGTTTTGCTCAACCCCCACCACCAAAACATGCAAAATACCATCACAAAATTTGTCTGCAAGTCTGTGAGTCAAAAATAAAGTGTCAAAGAATAGGATGAGGCATGCAAAAACATGTGTGGCTACAACTACAACTACTCACAACTTGTGTACTGTACATGCTGTCTGAGATCTGTTCGCGAGGTCGTCATACTGATACAGACATCCCAAGATGCGTTTCCATCACTTGATGGCAAAACAAAAACAAAAACAGGATGCTCCGAGGCGACACATCATGAAACAGATGCGAAAAAAAACAGTCACAGAGAAACAGACTGTTGATGTCAGGCTGTGAATCATATTTCCTAGCCAAATCAACAGCCCTTTCTCTCATCTCCTACCCCCTAACCTGCTGAAGTCTGAAGTTTCCCGCAAGACATCAGTCCGAAAATATCGCGAGACAGGAAGACAGGACTACCAGGACAAGGAAGGAAACAAATCGTGCACAGAGATGAGATGAGATGAAATCCCGAATGAAGAATAAAATACACGTCTGCGAGGTCGAAAATGTTTTTTGGGGGCCGGTGACGTAAGAGCATGGCAACAATGCAACCGAATTTTTTCACGAACTCGTCAGTTTTTCGAAAAAACAAGGAATACGGTACTGTAATTCAAAAACACTGGAATTACGTCATAACGCATATTTATAACGAATGCATTTTTTTAATAAAAAAATTTTTTCTTGGGCCTGGCAGTTGTTCGTGGGGAAAATGTTATAAAAAATTAATAACCAATGTTCCTCTATAATCTCAGTATGAGAAATGTTTGCCTTGTTAATGTGGGCATGGGCCGAATTATTTTTCATTTTATTTGCACAATATATGAAACTCCAGTTTGTTCATAATTGAAAAACCTTCAAAATAGAAATGCTACTCTTTCTGTGCAAAAATTCAGCATCGCAGGAAGTATGAAACTCTCTCATCAAAATTTGCTGAAATTTTATTTCAGATTTTAGAAATGTTTGATTTGTTGAAAGAAAAGTATTTGCGGACAGATATTGCTCTATTTCAGTGAACGCATAATGCCTATTGAACAAATGCTCTTCTTACACGTGTGCTGTCTGCTTGTTTTGGCTCATACTTCGGTAAGATCAGCATTTTTTAGGTAATTGAAGAAACGGAATCTCTGAACTGGAAGAATTTTATTTCACATTTTGAATTGTCTCGATAATTTCATCAAGAGAAGTTGGAAATTCGGGCAATTCTTCATATATTCGTTGTAAAAGTACAGTACTTTAAACCTGTTTCTCACGAAATTTTAGTGCTATGCATGCAGCAAGAACCATGAATCTTGTGCTAACGAATTTTTTCTCAGGTCCCTGGGAGTTCGTTGAAACGAGACTTCACTGTATAACATCAATATAGCGAACATTACACGAATGCTAGAAGTTAAGAATTACGACAAGTTTCGGATGGAATGTGCTGAACATTACTTTGAAATGACTGTTCGAGGTTTTACAGAAGTGCATGCGTCACTGACCAATAATTGCATCTTAATTCAGTAGACGGCTGACACAAACGTGAAACATAAATACTCCTAGAATTATTTTGCGTACATTATTCAAAAAATGAAACCCAACCCTATGGAGTTCGAAAACTATCATATCAGCCTTTCTTCGTAATGAAGATTCGTTTCAAAATAGAGTGCAGTAAAGATTCCGCTTTCCCGCCGCTGAAAATCTCGTTTCGATCATGCTAATGTACATACATCAAGGACGCGAAAAGAATCTCCGTTGAACACACTGTACTTTGGGCCTACACTACACTACCAGTTCTAGCAGCAAGCACACGTTTTTAGATTTTTCAAGAAGTAAGACTTGGATGAGTCCTTGCCACCTCATACACGGTACAGTACAGTACATTACAGTAGTTGTTTTCTTTTCCTTTCTTCGGTCATGAACTTTGAAGGCTCTTACGGAATGCTGCACATCACGGGAAATGATACAATAGCGTGATGTGCACTACAATCAAAATGGACTGATCTTCAATGACACGAGGATCAAGATAAAATTGAATACGAAACCATCATACAAGTCCGCATTAGCCGGCCAGATTTATTCTCAGGCCATATGCATAGATATAATCGAGGGTCGAACAAGTTAAAAATTATAGAGAATTTCCATAGCTGAATTTCATTCAGAGAGGGTCTGCCAGAGAACAAAAAGAGTTAAACGCGGAGATTGTTGCTGTTGTGGAAATTGTCGCAGAGTCCTTCTGAAGTTCTGCCACAGCACGATCAGATAATTTGTCTCTTAAAAGTCTGGTTTTTGCAAGAACTCTCCATCTAATATCAAATACAGTACAGTATTGCGTCTTGCAACTTCGAAACGTCATTTATTTGTGAGATTTGGTAGGCCACAAATTTATTTTCTGGTCAGCCGCCCACCACATTAATTCGTGACAGAAGGTAAAGCTGCGGTCAGCCACCTATTGCAGCATTATCAGGTTAATTTTTTTTGCAGTTTCTACTAAGTTTGCTACGAAACATACGCATCATCACCAACAACTTTTTGTTCGGTGGAAAAGGTTCACGCAATGTTTTAATGCAGCGAGACACTTGAAGAGTACAGCACTGCAGTTTCTCTGAGAGCAAATTACAAAGACACGTCTGCAGCACAAAATTATATTTATTCGTTCAAACTCATTCCGGAGGGTGACGAAACTGAATTTGCTTGACGCTCATGCTCTTATCCTTGAGAATCGTCAATTTAATTTGAACCTTTTCCATTCCACGGAAACATTTCTGGAAACCCTGCAAGTCACGCATCAGAAACAAAGGTTCTCGACGAGTCCGGAATAATAGGATGCAAGAGATGCTAATGCAATGCGTCCCAACGGAAGGGTTGGCGATTATGTTGCACTTGCAGAACCATTGAACCCACCGCTGCCCCAAACTTCTTTTCAGGGGCGCATTAGTTACAATATTTCGTTACCGCGGGTGACAGGACCGTTAAGAAAGTTACGAGCGACATTAAATGACCCGCACGCACGCAGGCGGTCCAAGAGAGAGAGTTTTTTTCAGGAAGGAAAAAATCGAAACCGTAAGGAGACAGAAAGACAGGTGGACGAAAGCGCGCGAGTCCGAGAGACGCACGAAGGAGAACCGAGAGTAAAAGCCCGTAACGCTGACAGATGGACACAGCGAATAGGCGAGAGAGAGACACCGTGTGAGAAAGAGAACATAGATAGATACGGACAGGATTACGGCTAGCCGCACGGGGTATTTTTTAATTGCAAGAACATTCCGGGAGTCGGAACAGAGGGTTCATTAAGGGCGGAATTTCCGTCGTTGCGAAAGAGACAAGTCTGAGTCGGATGCCGTCCTTAAAATACTGACTAGTGCAAGCAGTGTGTCCGTCTCCGGAGAACCCGTCGGGACACAGGCACTTGAATCCCCCGGGTTCGTTGATGCATTTCGCGTTCACGGCGCACGCACCAACCCTGCCGCATTCGTTGATATCGAAGCACTCGCTAGATGCCGTTCCTGAGAATCCCGCGCGGCATGCGCACGAGAACTCTCCCGGCGAGTTAGAACACTCCGCGTTCAGCCCGCATTTCCCCGCCTCCGCGCATTCGTCGACATCTGTCGTCGTACCACAACGCGGCGGACAAGGGGTTAAAGCCATGCGTACCGCAGCCAAGTAACGGCGTTAGGAAGTTTGCCGCCGCGAGTTGTTCGCGGGCGGAGTGGGCGGGGCGAGACGCTTACCTGAACATGAGATGAGCGGGTTGCCTTGGAAACCGTCCGGACAGCGGCATTCGTACGTTCCAGGCCGATTGATGCACACAGCGCCGGACCCACAGGGACGAGAAGAGCACTCGTCCACGTCCACGCACCGGCCGGTGTAGGCGTCCCCGGTGTAGCCTGCTGGACAGGAGCACCGGAAGCCGCCGATCTCGTTCTCGCAAATGGCTCCTTGGGCGCAGGCGTTCCTTCTGTCGCACTCGTTCAAATCCCCGCACTGCGGAATCAAATCAACGCGATTCTCTCAGGACTTTGCATATGTACTAGCCCTACGTCGACCATAGTTATACTGTACAGCATAACTGTAATGTACTCTACTACAGTATCCCCACTTGAGTACCACACGTCCTTGAGTGAGACGTGAAGCTTGATTTTTTGGCATGCAATTTCCCCAAAATCCTAGCCCCATGAATGACGCGCACGTAAGTGTTACCTGTTCTGAAATGTAGTATATATATTTCTTCAAATATTGGTGTTTAACTTGATGATAATGTGAATAATCGTAATAGCTTGAAGCAATGTAACAGGTTAAGTACCATTTATAATTTCCTGTTCATAATTTTCTCCCAATAAGACTCCCATATGATCAGTACCACTGATTTCTAGATTTTTGTTCCTTTAAAAATGTACATTTACCTGCATACCACTCACATCCCACTTTTATGCTTCCGTTTTTCATTTAAAAAGCTGACTGTAGTACCATGTAAGTAAGGTAATCTTTTTTGGCCTAAAGGGATCCATAACGCGACAGGTTTCTTTACTGAAGCCTCATATAAGAAGAATTTTAAAAATGGTGAACTCTGTCAGTGCTCATTTCAGTGGTAGGTTCACGAGTGTTTGTGTGAAAAGGGGTGAAACAATGAGGAAATTCTTCACTAGAGTTTCGCCCAAGAAAACAGAGGGCTAATTTTTATGTTTTTGAAATGTCGCCTTGGCCTTACGCTCAAAATACTGTAGACCATTCCAGATGAAATGGTTAACAAAATGAGACACTGCAAACTCACCCCAGTGTAAGGATCCCCAACGAATCCTTCCAAGCAGGAGCAGGTGTAGTTGCCAGCATAATTAGTGCACACAGCATTGGTCCCACAGGCATACGCGCTTTCACATTCGTTGATATCTGAAATAAAAATACACGTTTGTATGACCAATCATGAAACCGAACAACACAAGAAAACTCTCGTTCTTACAGAATACTGTACTGCATTCAATGATAATACTGTACTCTTCATTCAATTTAAACCAAAGCAATCATGCTTCAGAAGTGCAGATGGCACAGCGCTGGAAGTTTCAGTTGGTTAGGGCAGATAGAGTTCATGGTTTAAGATGAATACATTTTCTTTTAAAATACTTCACTGTAGTCCCATATACTTCCACAAACATTCAGACTCTAGCGCTGTAGAGTGTAGACTGAATCCTGTCTCATGAATCCATAGTCAAGACGTCCCATCTTGGCATTGATTTAACAATTCTTCCCAAATTCAATCAAGATATTGGACACTTTTTTCTCTTGCATGAACACAAACATGATGAACTCATATGTTCTAATTTCGGATTAGTAAGACCCCAAGATGCGGACATAATTGGTGCATCAAGAGTGTCCCCAAGTCAAAATGTCCCTAAGTCAAGTCTTGTTTTCCCATAGACTTACATAATATAACTTTTAATTGGTGTTTTGTGGAAGAAATACTGTATTCATTATTTGCAATTTTATCACAAAATGTCCCTATGTTGAGTAAGTGTCCTCATGTCGAGCCTTATTTATTGATTTTTCTGGGAAAATAAGTGTCCTTATGTCGAATTGTCCGCAGGTCGAGGCGTCCGCATGTGGGGGTCTCACTGCATTATACAAACACATACCAGTGCAACTGCGGTCTCCTTGCCCAGTGAATCCTTCGTTGCATTTGCAGAAGTAGTGCCCAGGAAGGTTACAGCATTCAGCATTTGCCACACAACGAGCTGCCAAATCAGGTATCTGGCACTCATCAATATCTGAAACAAGGAGAGAAAAAATTCACATAAATTATTCGTCATAACGTAAAATAAGCGCATTGAAATGTCCACATGCATATTGGTTATCTCATAACCAACAGCACGAATATCAGATAAAAGTGTGTCATGACTTCACTAAATTTTCAGTGCACATTAAACCAGGATCATGTGTTGAAATTCATACCACCTGTAACGCAGTTTATCGAGCTGCGAAAATACAATTTGTATGGGGCAACAGGATAAAACCTTGTTCGCTTCCCGAGAAGTGACACCTGCGCAATTTCCCGGAAAGCCTCGGATTCCAACATTCCAAGCGAGTTGCAACATATTAATCAAGCATGCAAAATCATTCAGATCACTGGGGGTCGGCCTTTCTCGATTCATTGACCATATAATGGGATATCAATAAAATCGTTAACCTTTATTCCATAAAATAACCTTCAATTAAACTCTGAAATTTTCTGGAACACGACCATCATAAATACTGTAGAGGTAATAATCGTAATGCGAAAAACAGTACTTTCAAGCTAGAGAGTACCTTCAGTCAAGCACAACTGTACTCAGAAGATCCATCGTAATAACGAAAACAATTTTCATTCTCTCAGGAATTTTCCTCCTTTTTTCCAGTAAGAAATGATATATTCACGATTTTCACCGAGATTTCACTCTCGCTGATGTGAGATTTCTTTTACGGCTGCACAGAATAATTTCTCGGAAACCTGACTAGACTGGAATTATAGGGGTATAAATTTTGGATATAATGCCAGCATTCCAAGCTCAGCATTTCATCCCAGCAAAATCCCACACGAACTTAAAAAAAAAAAAAATGCGGAGTCAACAAAATCGGAAACTTGAGGGCATTCCAACAAATGAACTCGGCAGCAGTTTTCATTAAATATATTTATTTGCGGTTGATGTTTTTCTCTAATATCGGAATTACATTAAAACCTCGAGATTATTTATGTAGTTCCCATCAATCTCGTTCAAAATGCATCTCGCAAATTGGAATATGATTATGTAAGATTTGAGTGTGGGGAAGGAAGATCACGAAAAGGCTATTAATCTCTAGAAATTTTATTCTTTGCAGCAGTCGCTCTTTTTTCCAGTTAAAAAATAATAATACAGTACACTTTGAAACCCAACTTCCTGAGAATTCGCTGCGCTTCAGTACGTCGAAACAAACTTATTACGCAAAATAAACTTTCCGGGAACATCAGAGAGGTAAAAATTTCAAGAAAAAGGGATAGTTTTACGACAGTCGTCTCGTTTTTTTTCTTCTAAGAATACAGCACAGTACTTTACTGTGCAACCAAATGCGGAATCCTTTGAATGAGTTTCCTTGGGATCCGCAGTATCTCGATACGTCTTGTGCACATAAGCATCGCAAAATTGTAACGTAAGCGAGCAAAATAAAAAAGGTCGGGAAGGGAAAGCGTGTGGGTTATCAAAGAGCTGTTTCCTTGAACCTCCCCGAAAGCACAGTTGGGTACTTTCCAAATAAGGTGCAGTCTGGGCGTTGCTCCTCGACGGAGATTTTTCTGTCTCCGGGTGTCCTTGTGGGTTCCAAATAAGGGTTCCTTTTTCCAGTGGGTGTCTCAATGACGACACTTGTACCACTTAAAACTATTCATATCTTTTCTTCCCCGGCACGAACCCGTCTTTGATTCAAAGAGGATCATTCCGGAGCCACTCGGAATCATCAAAACAAGTCATGCATAAATCCGTCCCTTTTTCTGAGCCACCCTCAAATAAATATGGTCAATAACCTCCTCGGCATTGACTCATCGCTCCCCCTCGGGGCCCAAGTACCAAATCCATGGCCACGGGAAATGGCAGCCCCCCCTCCCCCTTTTTTTGCATGACGAGGCAAAAGGTGATGGGAACACAGGCGCAGGATCAACTCCCCAGGGTTCAACAAACCCTGCCAACTATCCTCGGGCTTCCTGGGACAAAAAACCTGCCCTATATCAAACACAGGATGCCCATCACGGAACCTCCGGGAATTGCAGGTTTCCACACCCACTCACGTCCTTCATCCGCGGGTACTAAACCAGTTTGTGGGGAAAAGGTCAGATAATTGGATCTGATTCAATCCCAAACCACACCCGCTAAATGGTTTCACACGCACAGATGTCACTTCTTCGGAAAGATCAAGGGTGTCCAACTTTACCAATCCAGACACGTCCAAAAATGGCAAGACGCGCAATTTCAGCGGCATTGAACCAAATCCACGGGTCGGACAAAGAAAAACTCAGTTATCCATCTGAATGCACAGATCTAAAGATTTTCTCTCAGTATGACGCAACAAATTTAAATAGACCTGACCAAGATCATGGATCCCGGTAGCACCTGATTTGAATACTACATACGTTTCATCAATTTAGGATTCGTCTCCACATCTGAATCTACGAATTACTTCCAAAGGTCAACATATTCAACCTCGACATTTTTTTTCTCTCTCTCGCAAGAAATAAGCGAGTGTTAGTCCACGATTCATCAAACCCAACTCCAACGTCGGCCAACCAATTTCACGGATCGCTTAAAAAGTTTATCATCATTGCTAGAGCCCAAATTAACTGATGGTATTTTATTGATGCAGGCACACGCCTTCAACTAAACCAAGATCTTGGCTTTTCTTGGCATGAAACTATCATATTTACTCGAGTACCACGCACCCTTGAGTAAAATACGAACCAAGGTTTTTCGGTTAATTGAAAAAAAAAATGTATCCCTGTGTAAGACACACGCAACCCTATTTTAGCAAGTCTAAAACTGTAATACAGTAGAATCTCGTTACAACGAAGCGTTTGGGGCCTTGAAAAAAGCTTCGTTGTGCTCCGAAATTCGTTAGAACGTCATTAAATAACATTGTAGTTATTGGACAGGGAC